GACTTTTTTTACATTTTTAGATAACAGAAATCTTGATTTCTCTTTTTAATAGCATGATTTTAGTTTTGAATCCGGTTCTTAGTATTGAAATCTTAATTCGAACACGCAATCTGCGACCTCCCAGCCAGCAAAATACCTATTATTTTGCATTAGTTTTAGCAAATCCTCAAATGTGCATTACGAATCAACTAACTGATTTGAATCATATATTGCTTTATACATTCTTGCGAATAACTTGAAATTAAGATCCGAATTTTCGATTCTACTGATAAATCTCTAAATCCTGAAAGATTTGGAATCACAAAATTACCTAAATACAAAATTCTATGCCTAATGTTTGTCATCAAACTGATAACAGTTTACTAGTAGATATACTGGCAAGTTCAAATCTAAAAGATCCATTATCGTGATTCTATTTTCTAAATATTTTTCTTGGGTTAATTTTAATTGAATTCATAAAATATTGAAAGAACAAATAAATTACTAGATATCTTCTGAAAAATCTGTGAATTCGGTTTTAATTTGGAAATTTAATGATTTTAATCCACTTAAATTCATGGATCTCTTAATTTAAAATTAATGGAAAAGCATTCAAATTCTGTAAATTTAATTCGAGTAAATTGTTTTGCTAATGAAAAAAAAAACTGAATTTCGAAATTACAACAATTCCAAACTTGGAACTAGTAGAATTACAATTTGTATAGATCGGTTAACAAACTTGAGTATTCAAAACCTTAATCTACTTACATCCAAATTTTTTCCAAAAATAAAAAATTCTTACTTGATTTTACATGAGGTGAAAATCCGAATTCCTAAATAATACAAAAAATAATTAGCAAGAAATTAATAATAACACAAATCCCGATTTCAAAATATTCGATTATTGTGCTCGGTAGTAATTTTTCGAAACCTTGAGAAACCATTTCTGCATTCATTTGAAAAAAATAACAATTGCCTGTACCAATTACTTTAGCACTTGATCGGTTTAGCGTTAAATTATATAGAATAAATATTCTACTGAGTCGTTCCCAAGCAATAACAATAATTAGAACTGAACTAGCAATCCTTAAATCTCTCTCCTATTCAATTAACTTTATTTGGTAAGAATTAGGAAACTGATGAAGCTACGTTAATTTCCTACGTTTCTAATATACTATTTAATTGTTACGCGAACAATAATAACGCAAATGCTCTATTTGGTAATAAGACTAGTAACAGTAATAAGTCATCATCTGAAAATGTCAGTAAAAATTGGAATTTTTGGCCTTTTGTTTTCGAGAAATTCAAATTCTGATTTCCATAGTTGTTAATAAAGGAGAGTGAGGCGGATGTGGTCGTTGATGCGTGTCCGCAACGCTAAACCACTTGCACAAGTGAATGTTTAATGCCAACAATGAACCAAACAAAATCGTAGCGTGAGTGAGTTGTGTTCAGATGAAAATAACTATGCCCACATTTTGGATTTTTTGATTCGGTGAGTCGGCAAAAACTGACAAGGGTTTTGTACACAAATTGGGGTTTCAGAAGGTCACAAAGAGTGGGTTTTAAATGGAAAACCTTCACAGTCGACAATGAAAATATGCCTAATTTTGGTAAAAGTGGAAATGGCGTGAGTGAAACGAGTCAATTTTGGATTTAGCTGCACGCAATATCAATTTTTGGCTTGAATTTTTAGTATGTTTAGAGTGTTTATGGGAAAATTTTTGCGATCTGTCGTTGTCTAATATTGTTTTCTTTCTTTTTATGTTTATTTATAAATTAATGACTAATTATGCCTTTTGTCTCAAGATTCTATATGTTTCCTTTAAAATAAATTTATTCTTAAGCTCCCAATTTTTTTAGTATGAGTTTCTAACAAATTATTTTACAATCTTAACGTTTTAAGTGTTGTAAACTTGTTTATTCTTCGACACTGTCAAAATTTACGAAACGTCAGATTATTTTTAACAGATTTAAAGCAAATTTAAGCCTTATTGAGTCTAATTCGATGAATAAAATGTTACATTCAACTTGTTTGAGTGTAAATCGGACTCTTTATTCCACCTCGTGGATGATAAACCACTCGGTGAGATAATCCGTCCGATTTACACTCAAACTCGTCGAATAAATAACTATTTCTAGAAAGCTCAGTTTAAATTTGAATAAAATAAAAATAATAATCATTTTACAACTCAAAAAACTGAATGATTTAATACAGCCAATTTTTCCTATTTTAGAAAAATTTTTGGGTCTTGAATTTTTACATTCTTATCAATCTTATCATTATTTTACAATAATTATAAAGTTTGGTCTGTAATTGTTTTCAATATGTTTTTCAGACAGTTCTGACAAATAATTATTATCCTTCGTTTAAGAAATTGTAACAGTACAAATTTTGTGTTTCAAGCAAAGACACGAATTTATTTTGTCGGTTTGAAGACACATTTATTTTATCATAAGATATAATGTCATTCAGCCTACAGAGTGTCTCAAAATTAAGGCATTCCGAGTTCAGAAGGTTATAGGAGATCTTACCACGTGTGAGAGAAAAATTGATAAAAAAGACTTTGCATCAAATAATCTTTAAATGAAGACAATAAATGCTGGCGTTTATTTTTATTTATTATGGGCACCGTCATGTGTAATCCAAAACAATTCTTGAAAACATGTGATTTGACGCGAAGTAAAAAAATATTCAATTTTCGCAAATTTTGGTCAAAAAAGAATTCAACAACGCTAACATTATATTATTTTGTTGCTGTGGGGTTTTGAACGACATGGTTGATTGAAGGCCGTCAACAGTAAATTTTACGTGGATCTTGAATAAGAAAATTCTTGTCGTTTTTTTTTAATGTGCAAATGATTTGTCATAAATTGCCAAAAACGAGTTTTTTCTGTTCAAAAAGTTGTTTGTCGAATTTCAGAAATTCCTATATGAACCGTTACAACTTTGCGATGAATTTTATAATTTATAGATTTTTGGCAATCGATTTTTTATCTATTTAATTTACGAATTTCAATAATCATTAATTTTGAATTCTTTACTGTTATTTTTTAAAATATACATATTTTCGCGTTCCTTTAAAGTCAGTGAACTGGCTCTTTATTAAAAAAAACCGCTTGTGAAAAATTATAAGTACTTGTATTTAAGATTTAGAGAAACATGAAAAAGTTACACGAAAACTTTACGCAAAACTATGATGAAAAAATAAAACAGAAAAAGATTTACACAATAAATAAAGAATAATAAAAATTGTTTTCTTAGAAAAATCTTTCGGCGATGCAAAAAAAAACGAAAAATCAATTATAATATTTGTACAAAAAACTATCAGTAGAAAATATATATAATAAAATCATTTTGTTATGATTGACACAAAATAAGTGACCTAAGTAAGTTTTCCACTCTACAAAGTGTCCGAAAAAATATTGTAAGATTGCAATATTAGAAGATAAACATACAAGAAGTATTTAGAAAAAGTGTTTATTCTTTGGAGTAAAAGTGATATTCAAACAAACCTATTTATTTATTATAAATAAATAATTTGTAAACTAAACTCGATTTTCATGAAAAAACAGTAAAAATATTGAAAAATACTTTGAAATGTTGAAAACTATATTATTTTAATCGTTTTATTGAATGTTTGTATTGATATATGGGGTGTCCTAAGTTTTAGGGTCGGCGCAAAAATAAATATTTCTAATTGATTAAAAAAGAATTTTGATAGCGTAAACGATAGAGGATAAAATACACTTTAATTTGATGTTTTAATATTGTACAAAATTTTTTGTGTATGGCAGTGAGACCCTAAAAATTAAATTTGGAGAAAAAAATCATATAACTGGAATATTTTATACATGATAAAATTCTTTGATTTTTTTGTGGTATTTGTGAAAGTAGAATAATGATAAAGTTGATAGGTTTTGAATAATTAACATTTTAATATTGAAAATCTGAAACTTGGAATAATTTATGAGGGGTTTGCGGTAATTGGTGATCAGGCCAGAATTTCTTGACAAAAGAAAAAAGCCTGCAATGATATTTATGACGTACCCGGGCTCTGTTGTGATGCCTCCGCTCTATTGCAATGCACATCATCCCAAACGTGGCCATAAATTACCAGAATGCCCAAATTTCAATTTTAAAATGTTAATTACTCAAAAGCTATCAACTTTTACATTATTCAATTTTCACAGTTACCATTAGAAAAAATCAAGAAATTTTATCATGTAGAAAAGATTACAATTACTTAATTAAAAAGTTTTTTTTATCAATTTTTTAAGGTCTTTCGGACATACGCTTAAAATTGTGAACAATATTAAAGCATCAAATTGAAGTCTATATAATCCTCGATCGATTCCACTAGCAACAGTATACAGTTTTTTAGAATATTCTTTGACAAGACAGTAAATTTTAATCGTAATTTTTAGGTGTTGTAGTGATTATACAGGATGTTTCAAAACGCGCGCCCCAGAGAAAAATGCCAAGTAAATAGACATAAAAAGGTCAAATGTCAAAAAATAAATGTCAAAATTCTTTGATTGATTTAATTTTTTAAACATTTTTTTATGTTCCTGATATCTTTCTTACTTGTCATTTTTCTCTGAAGTATGAGTTCTGAAACTCCCTGTATTAATTTGACAAATCTTGTAAATCCGGAAAAAATAAGCCTCGACGATACTTGAATAAAAGCGAAACCGGTTAGGCCCTAAAAATGTTTTTGCTTGGAAAAAGTTTTAACTAATTTGCAAGGTTTGAAGATAAAATAGTAGGTAAGTTTTATTCGGAGTAAAACCGTTTTTTGGAGCTTGATCTGCAAACCCGCGACAAAAACGACAGTCTTACTCTTAAAAAAAACAATATAGCTATTTATTAAAATTAAATTTTATCGACCGAACAAAATTTGTTACGAGGGACAGTCCCGAGTGAATTAATTCCATGCAAATGCACATAACATTCTTTTCTTTCCTAGCATGAAAATTCCTTAATTAGTTATTTTATTTTGTTTATTATTTTTTTCTAGTCGTGTTCCTCTGCCATGAAGGGTTGGTTCGATGCCTTCCGCTACGATGGAGGTCCCACTCTTTACAGTTTCAACAACCGAACTGCCGTCACCGGTGACGTGACACTTATCACATTCCTCACCATTTTCAGTACCCTTTATGTGGCATTTTTGATCATATTTCCGGGTATTAGAAAAGAGGTGAGTGCTTTTTATATTTACTCGAATTCCGCCAAGATTTTTGCCAAGACGCTGTTTATTCATAAAGTGACATAATAATTTACCTGAACGCATTTTTGGAGTTGTTGAGCGTAATTAGTTCCGCATCGTTTTGAGTGAAATTTCTACAAAAAATACACCTTTTCGTTTAATCGGATTTTAACGTCGACGCGGCGCCTTGAATGCAATGAAAGTTGGGTAACACCAAGCTTCATTCAAATGTGTTTATTGTTTGCATGCAAAATATTTTCAGAATCGAATGTTCTCAAGACCCTCAAAAGTGTTACGATAGCGCGAAAAAACTTAATTAATTTTGTTTGTGAACACATTTCTTTTTCTTTAATTAATTCGTGTTTTTTAGCGATTTACCACATTTTTTGCGGTCACATTGAGCCTGTTTGTTGGAGCCACCATTTTAGGTAAGTTGATTGAGAAATATCTATGTAAATAAAACTAAAATTAGGAGCTGCTGTAACATTGTTGGCCAAATAAAAAAAAATAAAATTGAAATTTCAATTTTTTGTTTGTACCCGGGTTTGTACTTGTATTTTTTGTTATTTTGTTCCAAATATCTAAATCTTTCTTGTTTTTATTTTAACAAGTATTGTTAAATTAACTATTGCATTAACATTTTAATAGTTATTGATTTTGTTAATTCATTTTATTCACTTTTTGAGTTTAATAAATTAATGCAAAATATAAATCAAGCCGATTAAATAATTATAAAGAGACACTATTTAATGACTATTTTGATGCAATTTTTGGCATATTCATATTATTTTCTACTAAATATTCTTAAACACAGAGTGCGCCAGAAGTCGCGCCCCATAGAAAAATGCCATATAAAGTAAGACTTATTTCTGTTAAAAAAAATAATTTTTCAAGTTTTTTGCTACAGGCTATTAGAAGAGAAACATGGAAGCTGTATCTTAAATTGTAACTCTGTTCAATGTTATTTGTGACTTTTAATGGCAAAATTTTTGTACCTTTACTAAATAATTATAAAAAAAAACATATACAAGATCATCAGTAATGATAAATAGATATAAAAAAAGTCAAATGTCAAAATTTTTTGACAGAATTTTTTTAACATTTTTTTCATGTTTTTGGTATCTTATCTTACGTCAAATTTTTCTCTAAGGCGCGAGTTCTGACACGCCCTGTATACATACTTTCGATACTTAAACCTCGGATAAGTTATTAGTGGTAGGTATAATAATAATTCCTAAAGTTAAAGTTATAATCGTTATAAGTTATAACACTTATAACAATGTATAGCTCAAAATTTATCCACAGAATGAATTTATTCGACGATTATACAAACCGCCCTTAATATGTAAAAAAATAGATAGGAATAAATAAGTCAAATTTGGATTCATAAAAATTGAATAAGAGGTATAAAAAAATCTAAAGTTATTTCAATTTCTTGGATTTTTAGATTCTTTTACTCAAGATAAACATGTTTTAACAAAATTTTATCACTGATGTACTGCTATTATCGTATCAATTTTTTTTTGATTTTCGACGTTTTTTTGGGGTATTTTGGAACACTTTGTAGAAGTTTTCATAATTATGTTATAATAAAGTTGTTATTTCGTTTTTGGTCACATAGTAGTTGTAGTAGTTAAATAAATATTTCTAATCATAAGAGTCGATTTGAAACAAGAGCTAACATTTTACAGAGTGTTAAATCATAATTTCATAATATACGAACAAATAACAAAAAAGTCTTACTCCTAATAAACTTTTTCATAATTCGCATTGTTTCTAAGAAAAAAATAACTAAACTAACTTAACTGGATATCATAAAGTTTCTGATTGAAACTGTTTGCAAAATACGATTGGAAAATGTTTTTTTTTTAATCAAACATTAATATGCAACGTGGAAATAGGACTTAAAACAAAATTACTTTTTTTCAAACAGCGGAATCTCTTCGCAAGGATCCAGAGAAGCTATAGGAGCAAGTTACAGTTCGAGTTAAAATTTTATAAAGACTTTAAGAAAGACGAATTTTTTATTTTTATTCATTTAAGTATTCACAGACAACAGCAATAATTGATAATTTATTGGATTTCCTAAAATAAGTATAAGAAAAAAATATTTCTTTTTTAACTTGTTTGACCATTTTCGATGTTTTTTCTTCTACTTTATAGCTTTCTTTAAAAAAATGCACCACAACGTCTTTCAAAACAAGTTTATCTAAACTGCGTTTTCCACTTAAGCCACCTCAAATTTATCAATTTCTTAAATCCATTAGTGTGCAATTATCACGATCAGTTGCGGTCACAATCATCATAAAGAGCTTTTTATTGCGCATTTCCTCAGAATTAAACCGACTCTGTGCAGTTATGAGTAAAGGTTAAAGATTTTTCTCAAGACTGCATCAAGAAAAAACTTTCTTAAAAAAAAAACATTTTTGTTTTAGTGACTCTTTTCGGCTCAGCATGGCATGTAGCCACTGCGTCCATCATCAGCACTTATCGGGCGTTTTCCACCGAAAAAGTCTCCTCAAATATTGGGGTTTATGTGGGGCTGAGACATGTAAATATCACTCTCCAAGGTATTTGCTCTAATTAATATCCCCAAAAATAATTAAAAATAATTAATTATAGCGTCCGGTAATCATAATTGGACCAGTGATATCGACTTCAATGAACAGTTTTTGTGGATCAATTCCGACCAGATGGGCGACAGTTTCCGCGAAGCCATGATTCGAGGACTCCCATTTCCCATCCTGACGGTCGCTGAGTACTTCACGATGGGCCAGGAAGGGCTGTCGTGGGGTGGACAATACCGGGCGGCCGGATATTATGCCATTATCATGTTATGGACGTCCTTCTCAGTATGGATTTTGATGAATTTGATGCTAATTGTGGTGCCACGATACGGGGCTGTTCTCATGACAACTTGTGGTTTTTTACTTCTTGCGACAGCTTGTGGCTACTTTGGACTATTACCCGAGACACCCTTAGTTGTGCATATTGAGGGCAGTACTCTCCATTTTAGTTTCGGATGGTGCTATTGGCTAGTCCTTATTGCAGGTGATTTTACTTTAAATACCTATTTTTTCTGAAAGCATCTGTAAAGTAAACAAAAATTGTCCATAAAAAGTACTTTTACGCCCGCAACCAACAATACATCAATTAATGTTTAACGTGTTGAGTATTGAAACTACTCGAGAGGTTGAGGATTTTGAATAAGGCTTGGCTATGGAAATTTAATAGCTTCCACTTTGTAAAACTTTCTAAATAAAAACTTAGTCAAGAGTGTTCTAAAAATTTTATGAACGTATTTCTTGGATAATAACGTCGATACCCGTCAGTTACCTGTCAATTTTATCAATTTTTGATTAACAAATAGGAACAAACTAAAGTAAGTCAGTATTAACAACCTATTCTTTATGGTAGGTATATTTTAAGTAATTTAACATTTTATTAAACATAACAATTTAGGCAAGACATACAGGGTGATTCAAAATGTCGGACCAACTCTCGAATGGTGATGAAGACATTCAACTAAGCATAAAAATTAATTTAGATTTTTGTTACACTGTTCAACTGTCAATTTTCATATTATCATGTAGGTATCTGTTTCCAATATTGTTAAATTTGCTAGATTGTTAAATGTTTTTCCACTATAACACACAAATTAGTAATTTTTTTCAGCAGTTATCTCTCCAGTCTTACGAGATCTGCCGTTTTCGCTAACTAAATTCAAGATTACATAACGTCGAAACGAAAACCTCGTATCTCAAGTTTTTACGATCTTGAGTCAGGTGATTCTTAATGTAGAAAATTTGAATCTCCAGAAGTTACAAGACCGCGCATCTCAAAAACTCTTTTAAGCTTAGGTATTGAGATGCGCGGTCTTGTAACTTCTGGGGAATCGAATTTTCTACAGAGGGAATCACCTGACTCAAAATCGTAAAAACTTGAGATACGAGGTTTTGACGATAATCGATTCGGTCAAAAACTTAATCCAAAACCTAATCTTTGAATCGTGAAAAAGGCTCAAACAATTTTTTGTCATGGGAACTTATAACTCAGTCTTTTATCACTAACCAAGAGATAATCCGACACTTTTGAATCACCCTGTATATCATGTAAAATTAAAAAAAAGTGGTCGTCAGTCATTTTAAAATTTAAAAACTGCTATGGTTCAAAGAAACCACGATGCAAGTGAAACTTTTTTTCGGATCAATACACTTATCAAAACACAAATTCCGCGGAGCACTTGCACGAATGAGTAAGAATATAAATGCTACACAGTCAGCGAGCCATGGGCGCCGCTATATTGGCCTTGGCTGCTTTGCCGAGCGCCTTTCACTTTATCCCTACTCCGCTGCCGGCTGTAATGCGACATGCGATAGATGAACGAAAAATTTTGAGGCGATGGAAAAAAAGTTTCACTTTAATAAATAATAAATAATGAATAATTTTCATTTTAACAACATAATTGATTTACAACAAATTACCAAACTTCATGATGCCAAGTAATTTATTTTTGTAAATTTAAGCACGTTCAGTTACACAGGAATAATTAGGTAATTTTATGCCAAAATGTGAAATTACCGAGTTTTTTTTTTGAATTTGACTGTATATTCTGAAATTTTCACAACACTCTTGTTCACGTTTTAATTCAGTTAATTTGTTTTGTGTGTAAATCGGATTTAAAATACAGAATGCGCCAAGAATTGTAAACGTTGACGAAAAATAGCCAATTGATGCTTTTTCGACTTATTTTTGACGGAATTCCTCAAAATAATTCCGTTCTTGGCTGAAAAATGTGCTATATTGCATGAAAAAGAAATAATGTAATTTCTGATCCAATTAGAAAAGAATTTAGTAATTTTTCGGTCCGGTTTAGCTATATTCGCCAACAACATGACTTTTCAGCTTAAAAACCTCAAAAAAAGCAAAAATTAAACCAGTTTCGACTTTTTTGGCCTATTTTGATAAAATTTCAGAAAATAATTACGTTTCTAACTGAAAAACGAGACAAATATAACATCTTTTTCAACCAAATTTGTGAATTTTTTTGGCTTTTTTTCGAGAAGTTTTCGAAATAATTGCGTTTGTGTCTGAAAAATGTGCTGAAACACTCGAAAATGAAAAAAAATATATCAATTATGAGACTTCAACCTAATTCAATAATTTTGAGGCTTATTTTCTTCGGCGGAAAAATGTCTTAAAAAGACAAAATGAATTATGTACCTACGTTTTTTGAACCGATTTGAGGAAACCTTGCAAAAAAATTCTCTTTAGCACCAAAAAGGACTTAAACGCTTAAAAAAGGCAAAAATTTATAAAAATCTAGTTCTGTCAATTTGTAATTTAAATTTAAAAAATATACTCGTATATAATTGGGCAATATGGTTTTAATTTTATGGCACTAACAAGAAATAAAATTTTGTTCACACAGTTTGTCCAATTTGAAAAAAAAAACAAACCACAGCCACCCCTTATTCAAAAATATCCCGAATGGACAGTCTCCGTTAGTTTTATGTAATATGAATATTGAATACGTATGCATATTTGTGTAATGTTGGTTGCACAGTATTTTAAAATTTTATACAAGGTGTTTCACTAACAAAGAATGTCAATTTAAAATAAAATATGCTATTTCAGAATAAAGCGCACCTCAGCACTAAAGTTTTTATACATTCATATTCGTGATAAAAAATCGTCTTTCAACTTAAATAACTTTTTTTGGCTCAAATTTGGTTTTAGGGAGCATTTGCCTATTGGCTGGTGTCATAATAACTGTCCTAGAAATCATCTTCCCGCACAGTTTTTCGACCATTTTGGAGGTGGATTATGACACTCCTTATGACCGGCATATAATTATTGAAGATAGTCGAGGAAGGAGATTTCAGAAGAAGAGGTCGAGTAATAGCAAGTTGGAGGAACCAGTGGGAATCGGAACGAAAATTCTCCGGTATTTATCAATTAATACAGTTTTAGATAATTCACTGTGATTTTTAGTCGGTTATCTTCAAAAACGCGTGAAGAAAAACCGAACGATTTGATCTCCAACAGCCATATTCAAAATTTCGAGTTGGGGGCAAAATCGAACTGGTCGTACCCTCATAATCAAGACATCCACAGAAGCATATCCCAAGAATCTATTACGTCTTCGAGAAATCTTCCTACAATTCACAGAGTTATCCCTAGGTGAAGATGTGTAACAGTTTGGCAAAGTTAGAGCAATTTTCGTTTCAGGCCTGACAAACTACAAGAGGTTTCCATGTGGTGACATTCTGTGACTTGATTTTTGAGTGCAATTTTTAAATTTTAAGTGATTTTTCTTGTGATATATGTAAGAAAGTTGTGTATAAGTTGCCATATTTAATACGACGTTTACAAATTAATGTGACCGAGAAATTTGTAAAAAATTTTATCAAGCGGATATTATTTATAATAAACGCATTTTGCAAATATGTCTTTTAATCTACATACCCCACTAATTCATTGTTATTTATTATGCAAGAGAATTTACGAGTGACGAAGTCGCGAGTGGACTTTTTTCACGAGTAGATAAACAATCTTTATCGTCGTGTATAATATTTCGTTTTACTTTGTCCTCATCTACCAGAATTTCTTGAATACAAACACTAGATTAAAATTACTTTATTTCACTACACGATAAAAGACTACTTTATCTACTGAAATAAGTTGAAAAAAGCACTCTTCAACATTGAGTACAAAATAAAAATTATTATATTTCCCCAGGGTAATCATTTGTACAATTTCCTAAAAAATGAGGCATTTTCAGAATTGTAGCTACTTTTACTGTTCTCTTCTTACAAATTTTATATACTAGTACAAGGTGATTCACGAGGAATAATGAGCCTGACCAAATACTCGATGCAACCACCATTACTTTTCGCAAGTTATTTTGCGACAACTGTAGTGTTAGTTGCATAGAAAATTTGGTCAGGCTCATTATTCCTCGTTAATCACCCTGTATATATTCGTATTATACAGTATGTCCCCCGGATTGAGTTTATAAAAGGAAAAAAAATTATCTTTGATTTTACGCCAAAACTGCAAAGGAAAAACATTTTTTGCTTTACCTGAAACGAGCAAATCTATAATTAAAACTTTATTATTCTTACTCAGTAGAAAGAAAAATTCATTTTTCTCTTGATTTTGGACTGAATAATTTTTCCCTGCTTTTTAAACCTCATCACATTGGCGGTTTTATTTTTTTTGACAATGATGTACAGTGACATCAAATGAGTTTTCGCAAGTTAAATAGCAAAAATGTTTGGTAAAAACATAATTTGAATAAATAGGAACTGAAAGAAACAGCTTGAAGATAAAAACCAAGGTCATTTTTAACAAGAACTATCATTATTTAATTAATAATTAATTGTCCAAGTGACATGTAGTTGCCAAATAAATAAAACCGCCAATGTGATAAGACATAAAAATCAACAGAAAAATTAACTAATTAACTTTTCATTTCACTGAATCAAAATAATGAAGTTTTAATTACAGTTTTGCTGGTTGCCGGTGAAGCAAAAAATGTTTTTCCTTTGTCGTTTTGGCGTAAAATCAAAGATAAAAAAAAATCCTCTTGTAAACCCTATCCGGGGACATACTGTATATGTATGTAACAAGTAACATACATTACCATGGATTTCAAAACTATGAGTCAGATATCAATGTCAAAACGTTTGTTGTATAAATTGCAACATTATGGTATAAATGGTCAACTTCTTTTATGGATAAACGCCTTTTTGTCTGACCGGACCTTTAAAGTTAAGGAGGCCAACAAACACGCTTAGTGGTTCTTCCAGGTTTAGAGTGGTGTTCCTCAAGGTTCCGTGTTAGGGCCTCTACTATTTATCGTGTTTACTGCAGATTTGAAAAACGTTTTGTCATCTCGCTGTGWAATGTATGCCGATGATGTAAAAATTTACAATACCAGTGAAAACTATTCCACCCTGGCAGCAGATATCTCTGACCGGACCTTTAAAGTTAAGGAGGCCAACAAACACGCTTAGTGGTTCTTCCAGGTTTAGAGTGGTGTTCCTCAAGGTTCCGTGTTAGGGCCTCTACTATTTATCGTGTTTACTGCAGATWTGAAAAACGTTTTGTCATCTCGCTGTGTAATGTATGCCGATGATGTAAAAATTTACAATACCAGTGAAAACTATTCCACCCTGGCAGCAGATATCTCGGCGGTGTGTCAATGGTCTGACACATGGATGCTTCCGCTTAATGTTAAAAAATGTTCTGTGTTATATTTAGGGTAAAAAAATCCAAGGCACACTTATTTTATGGCTAACAACGAGTTAGCTCAGGTAGACTCAATTCTCGACTTGGGTGTTAGAATTACATCCACCCTTTCCTGGTCTGTGCACGCTGCCAATGTTATTATAAAGGCAAACAAAATTATTTAATTCATTGGTAGAAAGTTTTCTGGTTCAAAACCTGTTGTAGTTGCCAAACTTTATAAAACGTATGTGAGACCTATTTTCTGGAATACGCAAACAGTGCATGGACTCCCACGATCAAAGAGAAATAGATTCCTTGGAAGCTGTGCAACGTCGCGCCACGAGAATTCCCTTTGGTCGTCTTATGAAACCGCCTTATGACAGAAGGCTTCAAATTATGAAGTTATAGCTTGTTCCAAATCTGGTGGCTAACTGACGTCAAAAATGACTGAATTTTGACACTAAACATATGTTTACTATTAAAAAAAATATTGTTCATAGGCGTCGTATGAAATAATATTTCAAAACCACTGTTATTTTTTAAAAAATTATAATAAGTAGGTTCTCATACATAAGATGAAGAATAATGAACAAATTATTAAATTGTTAACGCATGAAAAGAATTTTCAAAAATGATATTCCTAACAATCTTTGTCTTCAAAATTTTTAAAGAAAAAAAGTACGCCTATGTATTTTTTTATCTTAAGCAAGTGGGCGCACTCCAATTGTCTTTTCTGTCACTGTCAGTTCGCCACCAGATATGAAATAAGCTCTACCTACCTTACTGACAAGACGTAGAAAAGGTGATTTGATAACAGCCTTGTGTTCTATAAAAAATGTCTATTCGCCGCCAATAAGACACCTCTTCCCTTTGCATACCGACCACGATGTAGTATACTACATCGTGATCCCGACAGACGTACCAGAGGGCACTCTTTTAAGCTATCGAAGGATAATTTCCGTACAAGCGCAAGGCAATTTTTCTTAACTAATAGGGTCTTTGATATTTGGAATGCTTTACCAGCAGAAGTTGTTTTGTGTGGTAATATCACTCAGTTTAAGGCCAAATACGATTTCCTTGATAGCAATAAGTAACTGAAATAGGGAATGCAAAAGTTTCACATATCGGCATAACAGGCTTCGGTCTCTTACCGATCGCAACATGCTAATAATAATAATAAATCTTCCACTCGTATCGAATTTTCATTCTAACCTTGTTACAGAATATACTACTACTCATCATGGTGTAGAGTTGAAAAACCTATTCCGAACATACCAGGTGAATAAAAAGTATGGAACCAAATGTTTTTTGCTTAAACTATTTATTTTTTGGAAAAATTGATTGATGAATGATAAAGATAAAGTACTATAAAAAGGTGATGTAATATCAAGAATAAAATTTTTCGAGATTTTCTCTTGTCTTTAAGTTCTACAAAAAATTTTTTAATGGCAACCCACTATAAAACCATTTTTCTCATGAAGCTTATGGTCTACAATTTTCTACTTAATATTTAATTTAAAAAAAATTCTACAAAAATTGCAAATTTGACAAAAAAATCTTATAACTCAAAAACAAAACAAAATTTCGTTCTCAAAATATTATCACATTTTTTATATTACTTTTCCCACGACCATATATGAAAGTAACTGTTTCCATACAGCGAATTACCTACGAAAGTTGATGATATCGAACGAATCGACTATTCTCTTAACCACACGTGTACAAATATGAAAATAACGAAAGAGGTTGTAAAGTCCTAGGCGCGTCTGGCAAATTGTACGTAATTTGCGACGCACGCGGGCGTCAGAGTTAAAGGGGCGCCAAAACGGTAACAGAATTTAAAAAAAAAAGACATTTTGAATTTCGCAGTGAACAAAAAAAAAAACTGTAAGAGAAATACAACCAAACAAAAAAAGAAAAAAACAAAACGTTATGTGAAAAAGCTAGTCATGTGGCCGTTTCCTGTTATAGAGATTAGAGTTCGAACACTCCAAGATGTACACCGTGAGTCATTCAAACGGCTTGTTGGATTTAAATGACTCAAGATGTTCATCTTACAATAATATTCGAACTCTAATAAACTAATAAAGCTATTACGCCGCCAAGTTCACTGAATCTGGACTTCTGAATAAAACAAATTTTCTATCGTTTCCTAGAACTATTAAAAAAATACACATACTAAGATAGCATACAATTTCCTACTTCCTTTCATTAGTTTGCTTTATTACTTAATGGATTTGTGCTTAGTGCTTAGTAGTCGAAAATTTGTTTTTAAATTAGTGATTTTTGTGGAAGTATGTATTACAATTAAAGAAATATCTTGGTACCATTTTTAAAATTTTTTAATCCTATTTTAGTTATACGTTTAGATGAAAGCTTCGAAAATGTAATGACTGAAGCAAACAAAATTGCTGACGAACTTAATGTAGAACCAAATTTTCCGATGATGCAAACTGTACGCCCAAAAGGCAACCCAAAACTCTTTGATTACAAACATCAAGACGAAGTTGTGCTAGATGCAAAAAATAATTTCAAAACTAACTTTTCTACAGGATTTTGAATCAAGTTTTGTCTTCTTTAAATAATAGGTTTGAAAAAATAAGTAGATTTAATGATACATTTGGATTTATTGACAATATGTTTAATTCTTTGGAAGAAGAATTATTTAAAAAATTCAAAGACTTTTAAAGCTTTAAAAATACATTTCACCGAACAAATTATGCAAAAACCTTAAAATATTTTACAATATCTTTATGAAAATAATTTAATTTCTACTTTTCCTAATACAGCAATTACATTAAGAATTTTACTTTCCTTACCAGTTTCAGTTTCGTCTGGCGAAAGATCTTTTCTAAATTAAAAATCATTAAAAATTATTTAAGATTCACTATGGTTCAATGTAGGTTAAGCAACTTATCTATTCTTGCAATTGAACAAGAGCTGTTAGATAATTTAGATATAAAGGAGCTGGTTACAGAGTCTGCAAGTATGAAAATGAGGAAAATACAAATTCTTTAAGGATTTATAGTTTCTATGATGTTATGTTTTATTTTCTTATTTGCGTTTTTAAAATCACAAATTTAATTATCTTTGATTAAATATTTTTTTTGTTATTTTGCTTTATTTATTGGCACTTATATATTTTTAGGTATCATACCTATGTAATAAAATAAGTATACCCATATTTTCTTAACAAATTAACAAGGGGCGTCAAATTGAAATGTGCACGCGGGCGTCAAAACCTCTAGCGGCGGCCCTGTTGTTGGCCATGTGCATTGCTTTTGACTTTTATTTTCTTCATTCTTCAAAATTGACGCAAAGTGTTGTAAATAAAACCACCGACCTAAATCAGCTTAATTAAGTAAGTATTTAATATAAACAGAGGCCTAATTTAATAACTGTCGATCTTAGATCTTTAAGAGAAACATCTTTTCACTAAAAATAATGGTGGTCGGCTGACGCCTCGTGCGTCCCCCCACTTGTGCGTTATTTGTCACTTTCCGTGCTCGTTATGTATTATCTATTAACTTATATTAATTATTATTTTCTAGAGGCAAATGATTAAAAAAAAACGCTTGGTTCCATACTTTATATTTAACCTATACATACAGGGGGCGCCAGAACTCGCGCCCCAGAGAAAAATACCATATACTAATATCATTTTGCTAAGACCTACTAAAAATTTTATTACTTTTAAGTTAAATGCGGTATTGTTAAGAGTAAACCAGAGGGTAAACAAATCATAAATTAGTGGAACCCACCCGGACCCTGAAACAGGTCAGTTCTTAACAGGGCCGGATTATTTACTTTCTTTTTGTCTAAAATACTTGAAATATTTTAATAGTTTTTGATGTAGTCAAGTATTTTAAGAAATTTAAAAAAGCCAGGTGGTTATTAACAAGTTATTATTAAATAAAGCAGATTTTTTTTAATAATAGCTTGGTAAAACTCTAACCACTACTTTGTGCCTTGTTTTATTCTGGTGGGTCCAGCAACACTTGCAAAGGAACGTGCCATTTATGGAAACATTCTGGAAATTCCTTCACAGGTATTGTTCCTTCTCAACTTTTTCTTCGATCTGATACAGATTAACAAACCGATAAATGAATTTTAGAGCTTGAAAACTAGTGTATTATCCTTCTGAAACAAAGAAGCAAGTGAGAGTGAGAGACCAGAAAAACATGAAGAAGTACGCAAGTTTCTTTATTTACTTTAATGCAAAATTAACAGAAAAATGTACTTTTTAGAAAGGGAGTCACGTTATGTTGAAATTAGTTGATATTATTGACAAACCACATGATTCCTCGAAAGACCAGCCTACAAATTCACCGAAAAGCGTTGCTGAAATGCCCTCGGAATTAAAACATTTGGATTTTACTTTCCAGCAGCAAAAATGCTCATTTTTCGTACTAAACACAAACAYCGCAACATTYTTCTGGATTTTTTAATGAAAAAGCAGCYAAGGGGTTATAGTAAGCTCWTGTGAGTGGAAGAAAGCAACAATAAMTTTTGAGGTTAGAATTTCTCTCCTGGACAAAAATGCCTAAATACGAGAGTAAAACTACAATTTTAATATTAAAATTAGTAACCTGTTTTATTTAAATACAATTTCTTATGTTAATTTTGCATTAAAGTAGATAAAGAAACTTGCGTTTTTCTGGTCTCACTCTCACTTGCTTCTTTGTTTCATAAAGATAACGCACTAGTTTTCAAGCTCTAAAATTCATTTATCGGTTTGTTAATCTGTATCAGATCGAAGAAAAAGTTGAGAAGTAACAATATCTGTGAAGAAGTCGGTTCATCAGGAATTTCCAGAATGTTTCAAAATAATTTTTGATAATTGTTGATAATAATTGACGATTCTGTCTCATTATACTCGTGTACAACCTCTTATGCGAGAAAAATACCGCAAACTAGCAGGTAATGTCACCCACAAATTAATAAATGTCAAACGCAAAATTACAGTAGACCAGCTATTTAATGAAAATTCTGGGCAAATTGGTATTATTTTCGTAACCTAGCAACGGATATAATTTTTTAATCACACCCTGAGGTGCCCTTCTGTGATTGGTGGATTTAAGAGTTTAATAACTTTCTTATGCAAGCAAAAATGACTTCTTCGGCTGCACTTTTTGGCGACCTATTGCCCCCGGCATTTGACATTTTTCTCTGGGGCGCGAGTTCTGGCGCAGCCTGTATATAAAAAATGTCAAATGTCAAAAAATAAATGTCAAATTTTTTTGACAGAAGATAGGATTTTTTAAACATTTTTTTCATGTTCCTGGTATCTTACCTTATTTGAAAATTTTCTCTGGGGCGCGAGTTCTGGCGCACCCTGTATATTTTATATTCAACTGTACAACTTGTCCCAAAAATAATAATAAAATAAAGTTTCTTGGAAGTTTTTGTAGTAGCTTTTTAAAACATTCGGATTATGCAAGTTATTTTGACGTATTTTGAACTCTATTAGTACATGTTGAAATATTTGCACAATCTTTAAAATCACCCGGTATTATATTTACATTAACCTTCACCGTTTAAACTTTTTCTGCATAATTACACCTGCCTTACTAAAACATTTTAAACAAAATTTTTCTCAAATAACAGCACTACTTACTAAATTTTCTATTAGAGGTAGATTTATTTTTAAAAAATTTTGGCTTCTTTCCAATTATATTCATAGAAACAAACATATGCTATTTTTAAAAATACGAAAAAGTTTACTTCGTTGGTTAATAATCGTTAATTATTATTATTGAAGCGTTAATTTTTACCATAAAAAATAAATTCTACGACTACAAAAATTACCCGACGAACATGTATACCAACATATTGTCTTATTTTTGACCTCAATAAAAATCGATTATTGAAAATAAGTGGCAATTGTAGTTATTTCCAAAGTTATTTAGCTGTATAATAAAAGTATAGGTACCTTCAATGTACATTGAATAAAAGAAAGCATACACTGAATCGACCCATGTGATCCTGCTGAAATGTATCTAAGCACTGAAACGCCTGCGTTTCAGCGAAATTACTTTTTATATTCTAACCTACAAAGCTTCTGAATATTTTCAGCATTACAAATGTACAATTTTTTGATGAAGTGAAGTGAATATTAATTGAAAAACAAAGGTAAGACTTTATTTTGAGTAATGTCATAGATGCATATTCATTTAAATTTAACATGTAGGTTTGCGCTTTTATCCACCTTCTGTTAGAAAATAATAAATACAATAACTTAATTATCATCATTTTTGTGTTCTTTTGTGTTATCCACAAAATTAAATTACATTTTGTCAAACTACTCTAATCTCAATTTTCTATGATTTTTAATTAAATACATACATCTTCCTTACTTTACAGAGATTTCCTGCTTCAATAGAGTGTAAAACAAAATAATCACTCAACGCGATGCCAAATTTATAAAAAAAATCCATAAACAGAGTCATTGTTGTTGAAAAGGTCATGCTACAGTTATTATATATTTTAATGATTGTATGTGCATTTGCTTTAGTCATGATTTAATCTAAACAAAATTTAAATTAACCATAAACAGCGCACATTTTACATTTTAAACAAAAGTTCAAGCCTTTGCACGAACAGTTGAAACGTAGGTTTGGTACCATTTAGTTTAAATACAAGAAGGTTTCAATATAAAATGTATGTCAATTCAGGTAAGTAATTAATTTCAGAATATAAGATAATTGTTCAGAAACACTACCTACAGTATTATTTTCGGATATTGAAAACTGTGTCGATCAATATATCATAAATAATCCAAACTTAATGTCAAGTTCTAAGTAATCGTTATTTTTATTGATTTAAACTTGAATTGAACGAGAATAAAATTTAGCAATCCTTTATATAATTTTTGAGTTTAAAGAAAAAATTAGGTGGCACATTTTCTTGTGCGTCATTTTAACGACTTGCCACCAAAATTTAAATGGAAATGTTTAAATTTTCCATAAATATGGCAATACTTTAGATAAACGGGTTGTAAATAAGTCATTGCTTGACGATTTGACAATGAGCATGTTTGATGGTTTAAATATTTTTGTATTTTTAAAAAATATACAAAATGAACAAAGTGAATAAATGGAAGAATATAAAGTGTACCAATGAGAATTAAACTAGAATTTAAATTCTGGATATTATATTATGAAAATTATGAAATATTAGGTACATTCTGACAAAAGTAGTTACTAAAGAAACTGCTTTTTTATACAATTTGTGTTTTTGTTTCCACGTTTAGACTTGATATCTAAATGATGGTAATTAACGGCTTTATCTAAAATTGCGCCAAAGTTGGGCAATAGTATAGTTGCATTTTTGTGTATAAATTATAATTAATCACATTTCAGAACCATTTTTTAAAAGTTATGACAAGTCAAATTTCCGGTAGCTATATTATTGTCAAACGTGCCTTATCGCTTTTGTTTTAGTGACGCCCTTCATAGTATTTCAAGTTTATTTTTGTAATAACTGTGTATTAACTATGCTTACCAAAAAAAATATTTTTATCATTTCATTGTTCCAAATACGTGTATTTATTTCCTGGTACTAAACGACAAATCTAATACAAAGTAAGTTATCTTTTAAGTTTATCATTTTTCAAACAAGATTTTTTAAATAAAGATCCAAATTTTGGCTAAAATGACTATTACAATCCCAGGAAATGAGGAAATTTCGAATTATTCATTTTAGACAAATCGGCAAGTTTGTGAACTTCAACTTAGTTTAAACTCGGTATCGAAACTATCATGACGTAATCGCAACGCTTTTCGAATTATCTTCGTTTCTAATAAATTACCACGCGATATTATCATACATAATAAAAAACATGGCGTCTACATCAAGAGAAAATTGTTCATATTCATTAATTGGACAGGAAAGAATACATAGTGCTATAAATGATGAATTTCGTTCTGTCGGTGAGTTTGATATTAGCTTTCGTTTTACGGTTAACAATGACAAGAAGGACAAGGTCAATGCTATGAAATCACCAAACCTCTTTTTACATCTGTTTGAAATGGTTTAAAACCCACTCTACTGACAAAGATCTTTGGAAAACTAAAACATGTAAATAAAGAATGAACCGAATGATTAAAAATAAATATTTGTTTATCTATACAAATTACAACAAACAAGCCAGTGCATTAGTCCTGACATCTATCCATTCCCTGCTGAAATTGTTGCATTTGTTGAGGGAACCTACGTTCTTTATAGCGCGAAATCATAATTTGATTAGAATTCTCATTTCTTTGATAACAAAACACAATGATTTGTGATTTTATTATCTCTAAACAATAAGCAGTTGGGTTTACTTTTAATTAAATGAGACAACTGATGGAAATTGGCCTCCGTGTCTAACTTATCGAAGACAAAATACGGTCTATTGCTCTATTGTATCTTTAATTTCTAACGCAACATTTATATTGTAAAATTAACAAAGAAATCATCACAACCTAAATACTGACACAATAAGATAAAGATATAACGACTTATTGCTGAAGGTAAGATTAGATAGGTACTTAATTACACTCAAAAAAATCGTTTAGTCACTTAGTTCTCCTGTACCTACAAATGTATGATTGATACATGTGTCATGTGTGACAAGTAATTCAAAATACTACACAAAAAGGATGTGTAGAAAAATTAAAATATATTAACGACGACAGTGTCCTTTTTTTCGAAAGTTCCATTTTTCACCATTTTATTTATTACACCACCCGATTTTGTAAGTAATTAATTAAAAAAAAAGTATATTTTCATATAACATTTTTTTATAAAAAGCTGGTTTGAAATCTTCTTTGAATTCTTAACACTTCATACCTAAATGTAATTTTTTTTTTCATTCAAATGGGTGGTTGAAATCTTTAAACTCATAGTAAAAATTAATATTTTTTATTCACAATCACTAATATAATATGCCGATTACTAACCTTTTACGTTAAGATTATAAAAACACAGGAAATTTTTTCTTTCAAATTGTCAAGTTACGTATAATACAGTGAGATCAAAAAGTCTGTCTATCAAACAAGCGTAGAAATTTAAAACGTATGTCTGTGGAAGTTAAAATGTCACAATGACAAATGAGAAATGTCAAAATATTTTTTATGTAAAGTATTACAGGAAACCGTGGTGAACGATTTTTGTGAATAAACACCAACAAAATCTCATTTTAGTTTGTTTTGAGACGTTTCAAAGAATAATTCAATTTAATTAGCTCAATGTTTTAATTTTTACAAAATAATTTTTTGACATCTAGATAACATACGAACTGTCATGCAACATACGTCCTCAACTAGTACGTCTACTTGATAGAAAGACTTTTTGATCGCACTGTATTTTGTTTTATTATTTTATTTTGTTCAAATTTTTGACTAAAAATAATGTGATTTTGAATAAAATAGCATATAAACCTAGGTGGTAATGGCATCACCCTTGGTGCTTTATCCATGGTCACTCGGGGTAATGCTTCATTTACCATTTAGTTTGTAATGTAATATTACCAAAAATTTGATTTTTCAATAGGAACAATGGGGAAGAAACTGGACAAATTCCTTTTACTGATGTGGAAAAATTGGTTGTTGCAATATCGACGGCCTCTCCAAACCCTTGTCGAAATTCTAGCTCCGGTCCTGTTCTCCATTCTTTTAGTCGTCATTCGAAGTCTAGTGGATCCCGAAACAAATCCCGCAAAAATCTACACACCCTTCTGTCTACTCCCAATTTTATGTTCTGATCAAAGTATCAGCACAAATCAAAAACTTCTGACAAATTTCGAAAATAGCACGTTTATAAACTTCACCTTAGTATATTCGCCTTATTCAAACAAAGCCGTAAGACGGTCAATGGGAATTCTTGAAACTGTTTTGGGTGGCCACGTTGTTGGTTACAACAATTCAGACCAACTAGAAGCCCATTTTCTCGATTCCAATTCTTCTCTAACATTTGCTGCCATACAACTTGATGACTCTTTAGCACAACAGGACACTCTACCAGATGACTTGGAGGTATCGCTGAGGTAAGCAGATGATAATGGTAGAAATAAGAACTTAGCTTGAGATTTTAGATTTCCAAGCGAACTTCGGATGGGGTTTGATTTATTTGGGCAAAATAACTGGCATACAAATCTCTTGTATCCTGTGTATCAAGTACCGGGTCCTCGAGCACCAGAAAATAACACAGGGGCTCTCCCAGGTAAGCATCCCATCAGAAAACTTATTTAAATTTGGGGTCAAATGCAAGCCGGAATGTCGGAAATTTTATCCTATTTTGTAAACGGGTACACTTAGTAATGTTTACAGACAAGTTGCGCGATTTAGATAGAAGACAAAGAACGTGGAGAACTAATATTTTATTTCCCATTTATCAATCACCTGGTCCTAGATCCCCAAGATCTGATATTGGTGGTAAACCAGGTAGGCCTGAGTGGAAAAACGTGTGATCAAACTAAAAACATAGGCATGGGCAAATTAAAAATCTGCATGGCATGCGCTTTTTTAATTCTAACACAGGGAGAGACAAAACAAACTTGACAAAATGTATATCATTTTCTTCGTCTCAGTGAGACAAAACAAATGCACTAAATTTTTTTTTTAAAGTACACACACTTTGAACAAAATATTTTTTTTCTAATTTAAATGAATTTAAAATACTTTAACTTTAAAAAATCATTACTCAATAACTCTTAGGCCGATTTCCTTCAAATAAAAACCATTCTAAAGGGATGGCCTTGCCCTTTAGAATAATATAAAACTTGAAATTGAATATTGGCAAACTTTTTTCGAACAGTGTTCGAAGAAGTTCGAAGTAATTCAAAATAATCTAAGAAAAACCATACGAGTACATTTTTTTTCATCATTACCATCGCGTAGAGCATTTCTTTATTAGTTGTAATCCAAATTTTCAAAAAAATATACCGAGTAGTTTTCAAGATATAATTTTTTGAAGTTATGGTTTCCTAATCAGGCATTGCTCCATAAAGGAGAAATACATGTTAATCTTACTTACAATTGCATTTTTATAGAAGTATTTGTTTTAAGACACTTCTTTTGCTTAAAATGATCAATTGCACCTTCTTTGTTCTAATTAAAATTAATTAAAACCTGTTTCTTTACTTAAAACAAACAGAGAGTATCTGCGTACTAATTAAAGCAAATAAAGAGTTTTTTTTGTTGTAAAAATGACCACTGATCATTGAGCAAAGAGGATCCAGAAGTTTAAGTCACGAGTTTTAAATATAAGGGCAAATCTTTTTCAAATCAAATCATTTCCATTCAGATTTCGACTTGTTTACTTTGTTCTAGCTTTCTGAACTTTCTTTGAATGTTCTGAACAAATGCTTTCTCATCATTTTCGAGTGATGTTAAATGCAATAAATCACCTAATTTATTTTGTTGGTACATTCTACGATTGTAGGTAGTAGTTGTTGTGATAACAGTTGCACACGAAGCAACTGACTTATTGCATTCAACATCAGTAGAAAATGATGGAAAAGCATTTGCTGAAAACATTTTCAAAAAAAAAGTTCAGAAAGCTAGAACAAAGTGAACAGATTGAATCTGAATGGAAAGTCATTTAATTTGAAAAAGATTTGTTCTTATATTTAAAGCTACTGCTTTAAACTTCTAGATCCTTTTTGCTCAATGATCAGTGATCATTTTTAGAACAAAAAAACTCTTTATTTGCTTTAATTAGTACGCAGGTACTCTTTGTTTGTTTTAAGTAAAGAAACAGTTTTTTGTTTATTCCAATTAGAACAAAGACCATTTTTAAGAATGGACCATTTTTAAGCAAAAGAAGAGTCTTAAAACAAATACTTTTATAAAAATGCAATTTTAAGTAAGATTAACATGCATTTCTCCTATATGGCACAATACCTGAATAGCAAACCTTAACTTCAAAAAATCATATCTTAAAAACTACTCGGTATATTATTTTAAAAATTTGGATTCTTACTAATAAAAAATGCTCTGCACGATGGTGACGAAGAAAGAAAAATTTACTCGTAGGGTTTTTCTTAGATTACTTCGAGCTTCTTTGAACAGTGTTCGAACAAAGGTTTGCCAATATTCAATTTCAAATTGCATATCATTCTAAAGGGCAAATCCATCCCTTTAGAATGGTCTTTATTTGAAGGAAATCGGCCTAATAGTTATTATTATTAGTAATGATTTTTTAAAGTTAAAGTATTTTAAATTCATTTAAATTAGAAAAAAAATATTTAGTTCAAACTTTTTGAAATTTTTTCAGCGCATTTGATTTGTCTTTCTGAGACAAACAAATATATTTGTCAAGTTGTCACGACATGACTTTTTTTTGTCGCCCTGTGTAATAGAATCCTTTGGTGAAATATGCAACTAGTTTTCTTGCTTATAGGTTACTTCAAAGAAGGATTCTTGACTTTACAATTAGTCATGACATATATTTTTGCAATTGGAGGACACCTTGAAGCAACAACTCTAGAAGACTTTCAAAATATGATTACCACACTTCGGCCACCACTAGTTAAAATGCAACGTTTTCCATATGGAAGTTGGGTAGAGGATCCCTTGCTGCAAGCTTTAGAAAGTTTCGTCGGAATTATCATTATGTTGAGTTTTGTTTACACTTGCATAAACACAGTCAAAGTAATAACAACTGAAAAAGAGAAACAGCTCAAGGTATACCGACGATGTTTAAAAAAATTAAAATAATGTGTTAGTTTTAGGAAGCTATGAAAATTATGGGTTTACCTAATTGGCTTCATTGGACTGCTTGGTTTCTCAAAGCATTTGTTTTTCTTTTAATTTCAGTAATTCTAATTATAGTGCTTTTGAAAATTTCGTGGTATCCGCACACTGAATATAGTGTTTTCACGTACGCAGATCCTACAGTAATGTTGGCATTTTTATTATTGTACGTTTGTGCGACCATTACTTTTTGTTTTGCGATTAGCGTCTTTTTTTCTAAAGCAAACACAGCTGCAACAGTAGCTGGACTTGTGTGGTTCCTCTCTTATGCTCCATATTTATTTTTACAAAAGCAGTATGACCAACTCAGTCTCTCTACTAAACTCATGGCAAGTCTTGGTTCAAACACTGCAATGGCTTACGGGTTCCAGTTAATGTTAATGTACGAGGGTACCAGCGAAGGTAACAATTTTTTCTCCACCTATTTCACCTAACGCACTCTTTTCTAGGAATACAATGGTCCAATATAGGAAAACCCAACACTCCTGATGACAGTTTAACTCTCGGATACATAATGCTAATGCTAATAATAGACACCTTCATCTACCTTTTTGTCGCTCTATATGTCGAAGCAGTTTTTCCTGGAGAGTACGGAGTGCCACTTCCTTGGTACTTCCCTTTCACATCTTCCTACTGGTGTGGTCATCCTAGTTACGTAGGCAAGTACACTCAGAAAAGTTGAAAATGACGTGTCCATAAACCGACCTTCATTATTTGGGTCCTCCTACCTAACCGCAGTTATAAACCATCCGCGAGGGGAAAATAATAAAAATGCTTTTGCATTTAGCCTCAACATTTCTTTTAAGTAAATCTTGTCATGGGATTTTATTTCATTAATAATAATTATTATAATTAAGGGTGTGTAAAACATGTCATACGGTGTGTTATACTAAAACGAGCAAATTTGTAACTTTAAAACGTCATTATTCTGTCTCAATGGAAAGAAAAGTAAATTATTTCTTGCTTTTGGGTTTTTTTTTCTGCTTTTTAAATTAAATCACAATGTAGGTTTTATATTTTCGACAAAAATGTAACTTTAATTAATTAATTAATTATTGTAACCGGTATTAGCGGCAAAACAATAAAATGCTGCAAAGATTTGTTGCTCTCATTATAACTGAATATTAATTGTTTTTCAGCACTTTTAATTGTGATTCACTACTTCTACGAATCGTAAATTAGTTTTGAAAATCCTACTTCCCGTTCATTTATAAAAGTTGATAATGAATAGAACTGTGGAAGGGTAAATTGTTGATATAATTTGTGACACTTTATTGAATATTTTGGTTGTTTTCATTTTGGTTCTTACAATCTCGAACCTAAACATTAATTGGTATTTCTGTGAAAAATAATAAAGCTTCAAAGCGATCCTTCATAGAATTATATATTTAGATTATTTCAACTGGACGATCAGGTCAGAAATAAAATGAGGAATTCGAAATTATACGATGGGTTCCTCACTAGCCTCATCTAAATCCAATAGAAAATTTATAGGGCAATATAGTTGGCCAAATTTTCAACCCAATGTTCGCGAACGAAATTTAAAATAAAAAAATTGGCGCAACACGTTAATAACGTTTGGGACCATTTCCGCTACTCACAAATTTGCCAAAATTTGGTGGATAGTAAATAAATGAAATTAATTATTTAAATTTAAAACAATTTTCGTTTTTAATTATAATAATTATTAATAAAATAATATCTCAAGCTTTGAAGTTTTATTATTTTTCATGAATGAGAGCAACAAATCTTTTCAGAATGTTATTGTTTTGTCGTTAATACCAATTATAATAATTAATTAATTAATTGTCAAAGTTACAATTCTGTCAAGAAAATAAAACCGCCATTATGGTGGGACTTAAAAAGCAGAGAAAAATCCCAAAATCAAGAAAAAAAATTACTTTTCTTTCCACTGAGACAGAATAATGACGTTTTAAAATTACAAATTTGCTCGTTTTAGTATAACACACCGTATGACATATTTACACACCCTTAATTATAATAATTATTATTAATGAAATAAAATCTCATGACAAGATTTACTTAAAAGAAATGTTGAGGCTAAATGCAAAAGCATTTTTATTACTTTCCCCTCGCAGATGATTTATAACTGCGGTTAGGTAGGAGGACCCAAATAATGAGGGTCAACTTTTCTGAGTGTACCTCAAATTTAGTTCTCTTTCAATCTTAATTCCATTTTTCCTAAAGGAGTTGAAGATTTCTCTAGTGTGCCGTCACAAGAAGGTGAATTTTTCGAAAAGGAGCCCAATAATCTCACTCCCGGTATTCAGATTCGAAACTTGCGAAAAGTGTTTGGCCAAAAAGCAGCAGTTCGAAATCTCTCGCTAAACATGTACAATGATCAAATTACGGTCCTTCTCGGTCATAATGGTGCCGGAAAAACAACAACCATGTCTATGTTGACTGGAATGTTCCCTCCTACAAGTGGTACTGCAGTTGTTTGTGGACATGATATTAAAACAGATATGGACGGTGTAAGAGAAAGTCTCGGTTTATGTCCTCAACATAACATCATCTTCGATGAACTCACCGTTCGGGAGCATCTTTACTTTTTTAGTAAACTTAAAGGGCTGAAACACGAAGCCATCAATGAAGAAATTGACAAATACGTCGAACTGTTGGAACTGCAACCCAAAGCTAATGCAAAATCGGCGACTTTATCAGGAGGGATGAAGAGAAAGCTTTGTGTGGGTATGGCGTTGTGTGGCAATTCTAAAGTTGTCATGCTTGATGAGCCCACTGCCGGAATGGATCCTTCAGCAAGACGAGCTTTGTGGGATTTGCTTCAAAATCAAAAACACGGAAGGACGATGCTGTTAACAACGCATTTTATGGACGAAGCTGATTTATTAGGAGACAGAATTGCGATTATGGCCGGGGGTGAGTTACAGTGTTGTGGCTCAAGTTTCTTTCTAAAAAAGAAATACGGAACTGGATATCATCTCATCATGGACAAAGCTTCGAATTGCCAAGAAGAACACGTAACAGGACTCCTGAGAAGACATATTCCCAATATCGAGGTAAAATCAATTCTTTTTTTGATTTTTCAAACAATAAGTTTTTTCAGATGCACGGTAATGTCGGCTCAGAACTTACGTATCTACTATCGGAAGAGCACTCTTCCGTTTTTGAAGAAATGTTGCGAGATTTAGAAGAAAACAGTGCAAGTTTGGGTATTCGCAGTTACGGTATTTCACTGACAACTTTAGAAGAAGTGTTCATGAAGTAAGTCCTAAAACTACACTACTCCAAAAAATTAAAGGAACAAAATATTTTCCTTATTTTGTTGGTGATTTTTGAAAGGCTGTATCTCAGTGAAAAATGGTTGAATTTAGATTTAAAAGGAAAACGTTTGAAGCTTCAACTTCCTAGGTTTTTTTTAGTTGAATCAATGCATGGGCCGGATATTTTATTGTTCATTTATCTGCAATTTGCTTTATTATATTCTCTTTACTGTTTTCAGTTTTTTTTGTAGCTTAATATACCTTCAATAGCTCACTAAATTTTTAAACAGATGCATCAAATTGTTTTCTCGTTTGATCAAACTGTTTACAAAAGAATTAAAGGAACAAGTGCACTGTTTCTCAACATTGTAATTTTCATCAAAATGAAAAAAGCAATTTTTTTCAACTTTTTTTACAATCGTGTATGTTTATTTGCTAAATTTGAAAAAAAAAATCGAAAAAAAAATTGACTATTCAATTCAATTCACCTCTATTTTTTGATATATTAACTAATGAAACAGCAGTTATTTTCGTTAGTATCTTAGCAACAACAAATTCAAGCGAATATTGCACTCGTGATAAAATATAACTGGATATTCCACGAGTGGTTACAGTGAATATTTTAAAGTAACTTGATTTTTTTACCGGTTGCTATGAAAATAAAATCATGTGTAACACAAATTTAACATTTGGTTCATTGGATAGTCTGTAGAATAAAATTCCCAGTCAACGATTGTCGAATATTTTTATGAATGGTCAGTCGCTTATGAACATCATGAGTGCGCAGCACAAATGGTGTTTGCAACAATTTTTGGGTACTCGTTGTATTATAACTAATAATTTGTAAAGAAATTCCAAAAATAATACTGACTACAGCTTGGTATCATCGTATCAACTTTTAATTAATGCATTTATTTTAAGATGAGTAAAATTGGGGTATACAGAACTGAATGATCTCAAAATTAGTCAGTAGTCTTGAATTTTTTTTACAAATTAAAAAAAAAATAATTTTCTGAATTTTTTTTCCCAATTCAACTGACGAAAACTGTAAAAAAAAGTTGGAAATATAAGGTTTTTCATTTTGATGAAACTTATACAATGTTTTTAAACAACAAACCATTTGGCCCATGCATTGCTTTAACCAAAAAAAATTAGCCAAGGCTGTGGACTAAAAAAAACACATTTTTTTCTCGCCCTATTTATTAGAATTGCGTGATAACCGTAGCTCAGAAAAATGTTCTTCAAAAGATCTTAAAACTAAAAACTTGAAGCTTCAAATGTTTTTTTAAATCTAGATACGACCATTTTTCACTTTAGAATTCAGGAATTTTATTTGTTCTCTTAATTTTTTGTAGTGTAGTTTTTTTTTTGAATAAATAGGGGTTTTTAGAGTCGGTGCTGACCATGGCCAAGAAGAAAACTACAATGGATTAATACAAGAAACAAAGTGTAATAAGACAATGCTGGATAAAATAAAATCTAAATTGAAAAGAAATGGAAACTACGAAAATAACATTAATGAAACAACCTGTAAATATACAAGAAAGGCTATGTTAAATACATAAACAGGTAAACCTTTTTGTTTCAGTAACGCTTGAAACTTCCACCCTTCTCACCGGCTTCATGTTGATTAAAAATCAATTTTTGGCAATGCTTATGAAAAAAGTATTATCGATTATACGCACCTGGATACTACAGTTTATTCAAATTTTAATGCCAGTTGCATTTCTCATAATAGCAATTGTCGTTAGCAGAAACACAAACAAGTCAGCAGATTTACCGAAACTGCCCATAACATTAAATTCATATCGCAATCCAATAACATTAATTGAAGATAATGCGAATGATTCATTTTCGGCCTTATTTGTACAAACTCTTAAAGGTTACGAAATAAAAAATGTGACAAATATCACAAGCGAAATGCTTGATTTGGTAAGAAATGTCCATACGTAATAAAAATATATAAAATAATTTTCTTTAGACGGAGACTGTTCCATCTACTGTCAGACTGCGGTACATTGTTGGAGCTAGTTTTGACAAAGTACTTAACGGCTTTTTGACGAGTATCACAGCATGGTTCAACAATAATCCTTACCATTCCCCACCCCTAGCTTTGGGTCTTGTCTTGAACGTGGTTTACAAGCATTTAGCCGGCACAAATCGTTCAATAAAATGGGCAAATTATCCGTTACCATTTACAGCCGACACGAAAGTACAACAACTGCTAGAAGGCAACAGTATGGGTTTCCAACTTGCGTTTAATATTGGATTTAGTATGGCTTTCGTATCCTCCTTCTACGTCTTATTTTACGTGAGGGAACGAGTTTGCAAATCAAAACATTTACAATTTGTGTCTGGCGTCAAAGTTTACATATTCTGGTTAATGTCTTTCATCTGTGATATAATTACGTTTATTGTAACCATAATAGCCATCATCATTACTTTAGCATGTTTTCAAGAAGATGGTTTCCGGTCGTCTGAAGACTTAGGTTTTTTCACTTCGTCGTTAATTCCTTAATCCTTAATTATTATTTTTAGCTCGTATGTCCCTCCTTTTGTTCTATTTTGGCATTGCAATGTTGCCTATGATGTATTTTGCATCATACTTTTTCGAAGTACCTTCAACAGGATATACTAGAATGACCCTCTTCAGTGTTTTCACTGGAGTAGCTGCTTTTTTGGTTGTTCAAGTTTTGGCAACACCTGGGCTGGATTTGGAATATGTTGCTAACACTTTGCACTGGATTTTCTTAGTAGTACCTCATTATTCATTAGCAACAGGTATTAGAGACGTTTATACAACATTTGCCACCAATAAGATGTGCAAATACGCTGTTCAAACTTGCGTTGAAAATAGACCAGATATGACCATTGACAAGTGTTGGGATTTGACTTGTCATAATGCAAGTGTGGTATTACAGGATTACTGCTGTGGTTAGTAATTAAATAATATATACAGAGTGTTCCGTCTAAATCCCACATTAAAAGTTTTGGGAGTTCGAATAATCATATTTGTCTCTTCTATTTTAAAAATTTTTTAATTCGTTTTTTTTTTTTTTTTTGGCGTTGAAAGATAAAGGTTAGGTCTTTCTTCCGGTGTTTTTATATTTTGAAAAAAAAATAACAAACCGTAAAATTATAAGGTTACTTTTGTAATAATTCAAATACCCATAACTCAATTTTTCTAAATAAAATACTCCAATTTTTATTTTACTAAATGGAAGAGAATTTAATTCTGCATCGATCTGGATTAGCATTCCCTATACCTAAATTTAATAATTTTTAAATTATGGTGACTTTTTGTTAAGACTGCTGAAAATCTATTATTAGCCACATCCGTTTTCGTATAGTTTGCTATGGAAATCAAAAATGTCAAAATTATTTCTCAATAAACGTCGACAGTGACTTATTATTTATTTAACTTAGATTTAATTAATTTATTTTACATTTATGAAGAGTGTAACAAAATTATGATGTCGTTCATTAAACAAAAATAATTTTTTCACTTGTTACTTTTAAATAATGATCGCATGGTAGAACCTATCAATAATAATTAAGTTTGCATAACTTAATTAGGGAATGTTAATACATATCAATGCACAATTAAATTCTCTTCTATTTAGTAAAATAAAAATTGGGGTATTTCATTTGAAAAAATTGAGTTATGAGAATTTGAATTATTACAAAAGTAACCTTAAAATTTTGGGATATGTTTTTTTTTTCAAAACACCAAAAAAAGGATCTAAGCTTTCTCTTTCAAACGCCAAAAAAAACGAATTCAGAATCTTAAAAAATGGCAGAGTTACCGATTTTTAAAGTGAAAGGTGCAGATCCAAAAAATTTTGAAAAACTCCAAATATTTCAAAAACTCTCCCAATACTTCTAATGTGGGATTTAGACGGAACACCCTGTATAATAATAATATATAAATATGTACTTGATTTGGATGCTTTCAGTGCGCGAACCGGACTATTACAAATGGCGCAGCCCCGGAATAGGAAGAAATTTGCTATACTCATTTTCAGTTGGAATAGTTCTATTTATTCTGCTTAACATGAAGGAATATAAAATATTCTCCAAAGCTGTAGATTACATTGTTGCAAATTATAAAAACAAATTTCCTCAGCCAGTTGAAGATGAAGACAGTGATGTTGCGGAAGAGAAACACAAGATCCATAGCACTTCTGAATCAGAATTACAAAATGACTACATTTTGGTACTTAAAGATTTGACAAAATATTATAACAATTTCTTGGCAGTTAATGGCTTGTGTTTGGGTGTTAAAGAATGTGAATGTTTCGGTTTATTGGGTATAAACGGAGCTGGAAAAACCACGACTTTTAAAATGATGACTGGTGATGTAAAAATCACGCACGGAGAAGCTTGGGTAAAAACATTCAGTATCAAAACTGAACTAAAACAGGTGCAAAAGTTGATCGGATATTGTCCTCAATTTGATGCTCTTCTTGATGATTTAACTGCCAAGGAATCATTGATAATGTTTGCTCTTTTAAGAGGAGTTCCAATGGAGGATTGCCAATACCTGGTCCACAAACTATCGAAAGATTTTGATTTTCAAAGACATTTGAATAAAAAAGTTAAAGAGCTTAGTGGTGGTAACAAGAGGAAATTAAGTACTGCCATTTCGTTGATTGGTGATCCTCCAGTCATATATTTAGATGAACCCACAACAGGAATGGACCCTGCGACTAAGCGCTATTTATGGGATGCCATTTGCAAAGTTAGAGATAATGGAAAATGTGTAGTTCTTACCTCGCATAGTATGGAAGAATGTGAAGCTTTGTGCACAAGACTAGCCATAATGGTTAATGGCAATTTTAAATGTTTGGGTTCTACTCAACATTTAAAAAATAAATTTGCTGAAGGGTATACATTGACAATTAAACTTAAGAAAAGCCCTGGTGGAGAAGATGTCGATATTAAACCGATTGAAAATTTTATCTCAGATCATTTTCCTAAAGCAATACAAAGAGAAAAACATCAAGAACTTTTAACTTATTATATAGTAGATAAAAGTATCCCGTGGTCAAGAATGTTCGGGATTTTGGAAAAAGGAAAAAAGCAGCTAAATATTGAAGATTACTCTTTAGGTCAATCAAGTCTAGAACAGGTATGAGTACAGACATATTTTCCAAATTTTTGTTAAATATCTTTTTTTCTAGGTATTTTTATCTTTCACAAGGTTACAACGTTAATTTAAATAATAAAACTTTTGTTTTTTGTCCGTGCCTTTTCTTGCTGACAATTGGTGATATATGTAATTAGTAATTACACTCAAACCTATTTATTCTATGTTATAATAAATTAAATAAATTTAATTTTACAAAAAAATGTGTTTTTTTTTTAAAGTGAAACTTTTATTCGATCAAAATTTTTCGTCCATCTATCGCATGTCGCATTACATCCGGCCGGTGAGTAGGGATAAAGTGAAAGCCACTTGGTAGAGCAGCCAAGGCCAATATGGCGGCGCCCATGGCGTGCATCAGCTGACCGTGTAGAATTTATATTCTTACTCATTCGTGCAAGTGCTCCGCGGTATTTGTGTGTTTTGATCAGTTTATTGATGTATTGATCCGAAAAAAAAATTCACTTGCATCGTGGTTTCTCTAAACCATAGCAGTTTTTTTTGAAACACTAAATAATTATGCAAAACATACTTATACAAGATCATCGGTGGCCATAATAGACATAAAAAAATGCCAAATGTCAAAAAATTTTGACAGATAGAATTTTTTAAACATTTTTTTAATGTTCCTGGTACCTTATCTTACTTGCCATTTTTTTTGTGTTTTTATAAAACACCTGTATATGCGACACGTGTTTCTGAAAAGAACTTTCAGTTTAAAAGTTTAAATTTTGTCCTCTGACGTCATAGTGGGACATTTTAAAATGATTAGTCAAAACAAAATATACCAAATAAGTAGGTCTGTTTTCGTAAAAGAAATCAAAATATATGTTTTTTTTTATAATTATTTAGTGAAGGTACAAACATTTTGCCTGTAAAAGTCACAAATAACATTAAACAGAGCCTATAGCAAAAAAACTTGGAAAATTATTTTAAATAAAGTCAAAGTGCAAAATTTAAACTCTTATAACTTCGAAGTTCTTATAGATATAAGTTTTTTAACATTTTTTGCATGTTCCTGGTATCCTACCATACATGGCATTTTTCTCTGGGGCGCTAGTTTTCGCGCACCCTGTATTTCAAAAACTATGCAAAATCGACTTATAAAATAGTTTAGTTTAAAAACATCGAAATTACAAGCTACATCCAAAAATAAAAATACAGTCGATCTCAAAACAGTAAACAGATTTTTGATTTAAAAATGGCCCATTTAGAAAACAATTTTATAGGCTTATTTATTCTATAGAACTGGATAACCATGCTTTGTATGGGATTCAGCTATAGTCTCGTTCTTCGCATGGGCTTTATTTATGAATTATGAGTGGTGTGCAGCTCGTTATTTGATTTTGATTAAGATACAGGGTGATTCAGCTTAAATGACCCACTTGACCTCTCTTGGCGGACAACCCATAGCAATTATTCCTTGATTCATATTAGAATTTTGAAAGTTTCATGAATAAAAGTTTGCTGTTCGAAAAATATCGGAAGTGTCACTGTCACACGCACATGCAACAATACATTTCAATCAATGTCAATTTTTCGAATAAACGCAATTTTATTTTATAGAAAAGAAAAAGGTAAATCAAAAATTAATTATTTCATAGTCGATGCTCTATGTGGTCACCCGCACCGTGCTCACAAGTCGCGATTCTATTCACAAAACACAAAATCACTAAACACAACATTATTAATAAAGTTTGGATTATTTTCTAATTGTTCCCAAAGAAAATAACAAAAATCCAATCTACGAGGGAAGTCAGCATCTCGTAGTTCTTGCACTAACTGCATGTGATAGGGATGAAATTTATTAGTTTTTAAAATTCTAGAAACAGAAGATTGGTTTATTCCCACTTCTCTTGCAATTTTGCTCTTTGCCCAATATGCCGATTTTGTTCAACAGTCTTCAACACCAGAATTTCCTTCTGTAAACTAGTCACAGTTCATATACTTCTACGTTTACTTGCAGGCCAATTGTGACACAAACACATTTCCAGTCGTTTAAAAATTTTATGCGTAGGATGTAGGTACTCTTTCTGGATATTGCCCAGCGTATGAATCGGCGGCTAATCTAGCATTTTTACCAGATGCACCGTAAGTTAATATCATATCAGTTTTTTCATTATTTGTAAATGAATATCTCGGCATTTTTGAAATTTTGAGACGTCGTCTGCGTTAACGTTTCATTTGACGCTTTCAAATATTTACTTGTCAAATGGACGACACATTCTTTGATTCTCGATATTTTGAAAATTTAATTTTGAATCAAGGAATAAGTGCATAATGTATTATGGGTTGTCTGCCAAGAGGGGTCAGGTGGGTCATTTAAGCTGAATCACCCTGTATTCAGGGCGATTCAGAAAAAAACTCCAAAAAAAATTGCAAACTTTCGGTCTCTCAGAAGTGGATGATGATTTTGGACATCAAATATATGTCAGTTAAAAAAATGTCAATGTAAGCCACGCTTTATTGTCATTATGATTGACGTTTGAAACTAAAATTTAAAAGTTTTAGTTAAAATTTATTTGAGGTGTCGATTTTCCGGAACAATAATGCCGGCAATGCGTGTTTTTATATAAGTTCAATAAATTATTTTGATTTGAAGTAATTTTTTCTCTAGCTATCAGGATAAAAGTTATATAAACTGATAGTGAAGTTAGTTGCCTAATACCCATTTTAATGTCAGTCGAATGACAAATCGTCCAAAATTCCGTGTCCGCCAGTGTATAGTCGTCACAAGGAATATTTGAGATTGACGTATGCAAAGCTTTATTGAGGATTAAGCAGCCTTGCGGTCGGCCGTAACAATTTTTCACTGCTGGTGGTACTACCCTGAAGATATACAAAAGAGCCGTATTCAGGAATTTTCGTGGTAGGCTTTTAATATTTGGAAATTTATATATTAATTTAGTATTAAATTTATAATGCAGATTTGTAAAGAAACAATCTCAAAATATAGCTGAATATTAAAATTATTATTATTTTTTTTTTTTGATGAAAGCCCAAAAACTAATTTCTGTTACGGACCATCTCTTCCTACAAACCTTTGAAACGTGCCTGTCCTAAGAAATGCAAATTTGTTTATGGCATCTCTCCGCAAGTCCCATGAACCACCGTGGGGGGCAATCGTCTTATTCTATAATGAGTCTCAAATATTGTTGGTACCAACTATACGTGGCGAGCGAGCAACAAGGATGTTTGCAACTATGTCTTTCGAATTATTGATCTATACACATAAATTAAAAAAACGAACTTTACAACAAATTTACTGTGTTAAAAGACTCGTTTTTGTGAATATAGATAGGACCGCAAAGAGTGTAATCATTAAAAAAAAAATGTTGGCGGGGAAATCCACAGTTTAGAGGGTTAAAAGAAGTTTTGCATGCAATCAAATCATCAGACATTTGTCAAACATGTAATAAAAATAATCTAAATTTGGACCAAAATTTAGTCTTTAGATTGGACAATTAAATGAGAATCAAACTTCATGATTTACAAATATACACATAATGAAATAATTCACCCATTAAGACATCTGCCAAGTATGACATAAAACTTAAAAGTAAAACTGTCAAACTAAAACGTCACTGCACATAAAAAAACGCGTAAAATCACAGGTGTTAATTCCTCTTTTGACCTTATTTGAAGTGCAAAACGTAATAGTGTAGTTTTGAAACAATGGGAAAAAAATTAGATACATTTCTTTTGCTAATGTGGAAAAACTGGAAATTACAGTATCGACGACCCCTACAAACAACGATAGAAATAACTGCACCCATTATTTTCTCAATTCTCTTGGTTATGTTAAGAAGTTTAGTAGAACCGATTCAAAATCCAATACGCGAATATATGCCTTTTCATCCATTGCGAGAAGAATTTTTACAAAATGAAACAAGAAAAGACAAAAATCACACATTTTACCAATACCTTAGAAATTTGAACATAGTATATTCACCTTCTCCACACCAAATGATAGACCAATCAATGGACATTTTAAATGGAATTTTCAAAGAGGTTAAAGGCTACAAAAATGCCAAGCTTTTGGAAGCTCATTTCCTCACCGAAGAAGGCCGCAATACTTTAGCTGGGATACAATTCGACGATAAATTATATAACAAATCTGAACTTCCGCAAAAATTAGAAATCTCGTTACGGTACAGTGTAAATTCTAACTTCAATTACTTTCATTTAAAATTTAGTTTCCCAGGTGAACTACGAAATGTCGGCAGTAATTTTTTCAAAAATAAAGAACAAGAAAAAGTTGTTAATGGAACGCCATTCAAAAATTCCGAAAATGACTCCGAATCTGTCATCGACAAATTAAATAAACTGTTTCAAATTCGTGATTGGAAAACCAATTTGTTATATCCGGTTTTCCAAACTCCAGGACCTAGAGAACCAAATAAAAATAGCGGTGCTACCCCAAGTAATTTCCTAAATTTTATCCAAGCATTTCACATTAAAAACAAATTCAGGTTACTATTTCGAAGGATTTTTGTCTCTACAACTGATAGTGACTTACATTCTTATCCTTGGTCAAAGTGGATTACTCCAGTATATTGAGAGATCAGCAGCTACAAATATCTCATCAGCAACTTTCCACCTGCAAAGATTCCCCCATGCTGCTTGGAAAGAAGATCCTTTACTACCAGCTTTGATAAGCTTTATTGGTATTCTCATCATGCTAAGTTTCGTCTATACATGCATCAACACAGTCAAGGTCATCACAGTAGAAAAAGAGAAGCAGTTAAAGGAAGTAATGAAGATAATGGGTTTGTCAAACTGGATACACTGGACTGCTTGGTTCACAAAGTGTTTCCTATTTCTCTTAATTTCATTAAGTTTCATGACCTTATTAATGACAATTTCGTGGTATCCCAAAACAACATTCTGTGTCTTCACTTATTCTAATCCCTTAATTTTATTTTTGTTTTTGCTCTTTTACATTTGTGCCACTATCACTTTTTGTTTTTCTGTTAGTGTTTTTTTCTCAAAAGCTAACACTGCTGCCACTGTTGCTGGCCTGTTGTGGTTCCTCTCTTATGCCCCATATTTATTCTTACAGTCACAATACGACCAACTAAGTTTGTCGATTAAATTGTTAGTAAGTTTGGGATCTAACACTGCAATGGCTTACGGATTTCAACTTTTCTTGATGTTTGAAAGCACCAGTGAAGGCAATATTGTACATTTTGTTTAATTTTAATTAATCTTTTGTTTAGGTATCCAGTGGCACAATATATGGCAACCCAACACTCAGGATGATTCTCTGACTCTTGGATTAATAATGATCATGTTGGCTGTCGATACTTTGATTTATTTATTTATCGCATTGTATGTTGAAACTGTTTTTCCGGGAGATTATGGGACACCACAACCATGGTATTTCCCCTTCACTTATTCTTATTGGTGTGGTTACCCAAGACGTACTTATGTTCACCCTTTCGATGATTCCAACCAAAATATAGAGTTTCTCGAAAAAAACTCTTCACATTTAAATCCAACAATCGAAATCAAAAATTTACAAAAAGTTTTTGGTAAAAAAATGGCCGTAAACAACCTCACATTAAACATTTATGGCAACCAAATCACTGTATTACTCGGTCATAACGGCGCTGGCAAGACCACAACAATGTCAATGCTAACAGGAGTCATTCCTCCGAGCAGTGGAACAGCAGTAATTCTAGGATGCGACATTGTAACAAACATGAAAAATATCAGAGCTAATATAGGACTGTGCCCCCAACATAACATACTTTTCGATGAGTTGACAGTAGAAGAACATTTGTATTTTTACTGTAAACTCAAAGGTCTCAACAATATCGAAATCGAGAAAGAAATTGGAAAGTACGTCAATCTCTTGGAGTTGCAACCCAAAATCAACAAAAAATCTACAACGTTGTCGGGAGGAATGAAACGCAAACTCTGCGTCGCCATTGCACTTTGTGGTGGTTCCAAAATTGTTCTTCTCGATGAACCAACAGCAGGAATAGATCCTTCGTCGAGGAGAGCATTATGGGATTTGCTTCAAGTTGAAAAAAATGAAAGAAGTATATTATTAACAACACATTACATGGATGAAGCTGATTTGTTAGGTGACAGAATCGCAATAATGGCAAATGGAGAATTAAAATGTTGTGGTACAAGTTTTTTCTTAAAGAAGAAGTATGGGGCTGGGTATCATTTAATATTGGAAAAGCTTCCAAATTGCAACCCGAAAAAAGTCACCGAGCTTTTGAAAAAATACATTCCAGACATTCAAGTACAAGAAAACTTATTTAACAAGTTTTTTTGAAATTAATTTTCTAGATACATGGAAATGTGGGTTCAGAATTGAGTTATTTGTTAAAAGAAAATTATGTCGCCTATTTCGAAAATCTGCTTTACGATTTAGAAATAAATACAGAAAAATTAGGGATTCGCAGCTATGGCATATCGCTAACGACTTTAGAGGACGTATTTTTGAAGTAATTACACAAGGCGACAAAAAAAGTCATGTCGTGACAACTTGACAAATTTTATATCATTTTGTTCGTCTTAGTGAGATAAATCAATTCCAGTAAAAAAATTCAAAAAGTCCACACACTTTGAACTAAATATTTTTTTACTAATTTAAATGAATTTAAAATACTTTAACTTTAAAAAAATCATTACTCAATAACTATTAGGCCGATTTCCATCAAATAAAGACCATTCTAAAGGGATGGACTTGCCCTTTAGAATGATATGCAATTTGAAATTGAATATTGGCAAACTTTTCTTCGAACAGTGTTCGAGGAAGTTCGAAGTAAATCGAAATTACTAAGAAAAACCATCCTCATCACCATCGTGTAGAGCATCTTTTTATTAGTAAGAATCCAAATTTTCAAAAAAATATACCGAGTGGTTTTTATGATATGATTTTTTGAAGTTAAGGTTCGCTATTCAGGTATTGCGCCATATAGGAGAAATGCATGTTAATCTTACTTAAAATTGCATTTTTATAAAAGTATTTGTTTTAAGGCTCTTCTTTTGCTTAAAAATGGTCAATTGCACCTTCTTTGTTTTAATTAGAATAAACAAAAACTGTTTGTTTACTTAAAACAAACAAAGAGTACCTGCGTACTAATTAAAGCAAATAAAGAGTTTCTAAAAATGATCACTGATCATTAAGCAAAAAGAATCTAGAAGTTTAAAGCAGTAGCTTTAAATATAAGAACAAATCTTTTTCAAATTTAATGACTTTCCATTCAGATTCCAACTTGTTCACTTTGTTCTAGCTTTCTGAACTTTTTTTTCAAAATGTTCTCAGCAAATGCTTTTTGATCACTTTCTACTGATGTTGAATGTAATAAGTCAGTTGCTTCGTGTGCAACTGTTATCACAACAACTACTACCTACAAGCTAACTGAAGCTAATCGTAGAATGTACCAACAAAATAAATCAGGTGACTTATTGCATTTAACATCACTCGAAAACATCACAGAAAGATGGAATAAAGTGAACAAGTCAAAATTTGAATGGAAAGTGATTTGATTTGAAAAAGAATTGCCCTTATATTTAAGACTCGTGCCTTAAACTTCTAGATCTATGATCAGTGGTCATTTTTACAACAAAAAAACTCTTTATTTGTTTTAAGTAAACAAACAGTTTTTGTTTATTGTAATTAAAATAAAAAAGATGCAATTGACCATTTTTAAGCAAAAGAAGAGCCTTAAAACAAATACTTTTATAAAAATGCAATTTTAAGTAAGATTAACATGAATTTCTCCTATATGGCGCAATACCTGAATAGCAAACCTTAACTTCAAAAAATCATATCATGAAAACTACTCGGTATATTTTTTTGAAAATTTGGATTACAACTAATAAAGAGATGCTCTACACGATGGTAATAATAAAAAAAAAATTACTCGTAGGGTTTTTCTTAGATTATTTCGATTTACATACTTCGAACTTCTTCGAACACTGTTCGAAGAAAAGTTTGCCAATATTCAATTTCAAATTTTATATCATTCTAAAGGACAAGGCCATCCCTTTAGAATGGTCTTTATTTGAAAGAAATCGGCCTAATAGTTATTGAGTAATGATTTAGTTAAAGTATTTTAAATTCATTTAAATTAGAAAAAAATTATATTGTTCAAAGTGTGTGGAATTTATAAAAAAAAATTTAGTGCATTTGATTTGTCTCACTGAGACGAACAAAATGATATAAAATTTGTCAAGTTGTCACGACATGATTTTTTTTGTCGCCTTGTGTTATCTAGGAGTAAAAAAATAGAATTACATAATATTTTAGAGTCGGGACTGGTTCCAAAACCACATCGAATTTTGATGATGAAATAACCAAAAATATTTCCTCAACTAAGACAATTGGGTCTTCGTTACAAGAAAGGAGTACGATCCTTAAAAATGCTACAACTCTGATTTAAATAACTTTTTCAGTATCGCCCAGAAAAATTACACTTTTGACTGGTCTAGAACTGATCCGAAATCAATTCATCGCTATGCTAATGAAAAAAACCTTGTCTATTATAAGAACGTGGTTACTACAACTCATTCAGATAATTATTCCAGTGGCATTTCTGATAATTGCCATAATCGTCAGTCGCAATTTAAACAAAAATAAATTTGGAGATTTACCCAAATTGCTCCTCACACCACATCCCTATAAAAATCCCGTAATTCTTGTAGAGGATCACTTCAATAACGAGTTTAGCAAAACTTATTTAGAGACGTTGGATGGCTTCAAGATTCAATCTGTAAATAACTTTACCAAAACTATACTGAATTTGGTAAGTTATTTGACACGACGAGTCAGTATTGACTCAATTATTTGTAGTCCCAAATCATTCCAGCCACTGTGAAAAAACAGTACATTGTTGGTGCCTCTTTTACGTATGATGAAAATTCAAATCCTATTTTAACAGCGTGGTTCAATAACAATCCCTATCACACTCCTGGCTTATCATTGGGACTTATCCTTAACGCCTTGTACAAGGTAGTCCTGGGCAAAAATCACAGCATTGTCTTCGCAAACCATCCATTACCTTTCACAATGAATACTAAGGTAAAGATGGTTAACCCATGACGATCTCACCAAACGTTTTAATAGGTCGATAGGTTGCTCAGAGGTAATAATATGGGTTTCCAAGTTTCGTTCAATATAGGCTTCAGCATGTCGTTTGTTTCGTCGTTTTACATTTTATTTTATGTAAAAGAACGAGTTTGTAAAGCCAAACATTTACAGTTTTTATCGGGCGTAAAAGGTTACGTTTTTTGGACGACTTCATTCTTTTGTGATTTGATGACTTTCGCAGTGACGGTATTGGCTATCATCATCACTTTGTTGTGTTTCAGAGAAGAAGGATTCAGTAATGTCGATGAATTAGGTAAGTAATAAGTGCGAAGATTTATTATTAAACCATAACAACAGGTAGACTCTCGTTCCTTTTGTTTTATTTTGGTTTTGCGATGTTACCAATGATGTATGTCGCATCATACTTTTTTGAAGTACCATCAACTGGATATACAAGAATGACACTTTTTAACGTGTGTTTTGGTAAGACCAAAATACGTTGATTAGTATTAACTTAACAAAGAAATTCAGGTGTTACTGCTTTCTTAGTGGTGCAAATTCTGCTAACGCCGGGATTATTTTTAAAACATGTAGCAGACGGTCTTCACTGGGGTTTCCTATTGATTCCTCATTACTCCTTAGCTACTGGTATTAGAGACACTTACATTACATTTTCAACTTCAAAGATGTGCAATTTCCTTGTTACCAACTGCATGGAACATGTAGTAAATACGAATCGTGATAAATGCTGGAATTTGGCTTGCCATAACAACTATTCCAATAATTTAGGACATTATTGTTGTGGTAAGTTATTTCATTTTTTATTTACAAATAAATTTCTTGTTGTAGAAAAAGTTCAAAGGTTTTTCAAGTGGGAAAAACCGGGAATAGGCAGAAACATCATGTATTCATTTGTAACAGGAACAACGTTATTTATTCTTGTCGTTTTATGGGAATATAAATTATTGTCTAAAATAAAATGTTTCCGTGATTATGGCATTAGAACATTTCTAAACTTATCACACGAAGACCAAGATGTCTTAGAAGAAAAAAATAAGATTCGAAGCACTCCGGAATCGAAATTACTCAAAGAATATACTCTGTTGTTGAAAGACTTGACTAAATATTATAAATCCTTCTTAGCTGTTAATGGTTTATGTCTTGGGATAAAACAGTACGAGTGTTTTGGATTATTAGGAATAAACGGTGCTGGTAAAACTACAACTTTCAAAATGATAACAGGTGATATCAAAATTACCTTTGGTGACGTTTGGATTCGCGGTTTCAGTGTCAAAAGTAATCTCGAAGATGTGCAAAAAGTCATTGGTTATTGTCCACAATTCGATGCTCTCCTAACCGATTTGACAGCAAAAGAAACCCTGATTATATTTGCTCTCCTGAGAGGTGTTCCACTCGACGAGTGTGCACACGTTTCAGAGAAATTAGCACAAGAATTCGATTTTTATCAGCATTTAAACAAAACTATCAAGCAATTAAGTGGAGGCAACAAAAGAAAGTTGAGCACTGCAATATCACTAATAGGGGACCCTCCTGTTATTTGTTTGGATGAGCCTACTGCTGGTATAATTAGTCAAAAATTGGATACTTATCCAATGTATGTTTAGGTATGGATCCTGTGACTAAGAGAAACTTGTGGAATGCTCTTTGCACAGTTCGAGATAATGGAAAATGTATCTTATTCACGTCTCACAGTATGGAAGAATGTGAAGCTTTGTGTACAAGACTGGCGATTATGGTAAATGGAGACTTCAAGTGTTTGGGTTCTGTACAACATTTGAAAAATAAATTTGCGGCTGGGTTTACCCTCACCATCAAAGTGAAGCGAGAAGAGAGCAGCGAGACGATTTATAATTTCACAAAAATTGATAAATTTGTGTCTGAGAATTTTCCGGGAATGGTGCAACAAGAAAAACATCAAGAATTGGTTACTTACTACATACTTGACCAAAACGCTAGCTGGTCTAGAATGTTTGGAATTCTGGAAAGTGCTAGGAGTAGGCTCAACATTGAAGATTATTTTCTAGGACAGGCTAGCTTGGAACAGGTTTGTAATGTTCCGATTAGAGACAGACTTTTTTCATAATTTTTCTAGATATTTCTAACACTCACCAAACACCAGCGTTGATTCAACTAACGTAATGTTAAATTCTTGTTTTGTAATAAATAAAACAATTTAGTTTGCTACATATTTATTATAACAAAGACTACTTAAAATTTACTAACAATTCTTTAACAGCGTCATCACTAGCTACATCCTCTGGACTCAAACCTTCTGCATCGACGATATCCTGTCTTGCATTGCATGTTAAAAGTACTTTAATACATTCCAAATGGCCACAACTTGAAGCATAATGTAAAGCAGTTTGACCGTCTGAATCTTGAAGGTTGACATCAGCGCCACACTTGAACAAAACTTCCAAAATATCAACCGATCCTCTATCTGCTGCCCAATGGATCAAACCCAATCCTTCTTCATCAAGTTTGTTTATCAAATCCTTTGAAATTGGTAACAGTTTAGCAACTTGCAAATAATTTCCTTCTTTGACGAAATCAACTAGAGTTTTTTCCTTCGTTTCTTTGAAAGTTTCCGGATTTTGTGGTACAGAAACAGAAACCCAACTTTCTTTTTCGGTAACGTTAAAAGACGGATCTAAATTCTTTATGGTTTGAATATAAATTTGCTTAGCTTCATTTTGGGGCATATCTCCTAATTTATTCCAAGCTTCCCATTTGGACTTTGCTTTCATGTCATACCAACTTGGTTTAGGTGTGTTACATGATCCTTGCAAACCTTGTTTATAGTAACCATACAAAGATAAAAGAGTGTGATTATCCACGTTGGGTAATAGATTTTGAAGATGGTTAGCAGCTTTGTTGAATGTATCTGTTAAAGAATCGTTATCTTCGCAATCGATCCCTAGTTCTTTGAGGTCGTTAAAACTATCTAAAGAAGTTGCCATAACTATTGTTCTGGCTGTGTCTGGTTGGCGGGGAAAACTTTTAACGTGTTTCCTTCCAACTTGTGTCCTTCAGTGTTGATGGCTTTATCAAATTCGTCTTTATTACGATAGAAAACAAATCCGTAATTCCTTGACAAGCCTGTATCTCTATCGAAGATAACGTTCGCAACAGCGACTTGACCGTACTTGTTGAAGTAATTTTTCAATTCAAAATGACCAACTGTCCAAGGAAGATTCCCTACATAGACCTTATAGAGACTACGTGCAACATTACCAGCCATAATCAAATTTGTCTAGAAATTTCCAACAAGTGTATACTATGGTCCCCAACTAACTTATGTATATCCAATCCAGCACTAACCCCCAAATTGTTGATATTATGTACTTGACAACTTAAATTCCACTTGGCGAGTAGATGCTCAATAGACCAATCAGAACTACGCTCCTGATATGTGCACAAAAACTTGGCCCCTTGATTTAAATCAAGCAGATAAGAAACTGAGACCAAAACGTCCTCAAAAACAGAAGGCTCATAAAAACAATCTGAGCCCAAAATCAAATCAAGTTTGCCAATCAAGTCCAAATTATCCAAAAAAAGCCCCCAAGTCAATCCGATTATGTGAATATGCTCGTTAAGAACCAGATTATTCAAATGACAACTTCTCTTTGTGTGATTCAAAGATTTAGGAAGAGTGGTAGAGTCACTAAGAATTACCTTCGCCCCACACTTTGCGGCTACGATCCCTGGCAAAGCGGTCCCGGAACCGATTTCTAGGATTTTCTTCCCGACAAGTTCTTGGCGATTGTCCCACAAGAACCACGCGAGGACGGGTGCTGAAGGCCAAGTATAGAATGAGTAGCTGGCTTGAAGAAGCTGTAATAAAAAACCTCATTATGTTGTGCAAACGACTCTTAATGTGATGAATGAATGATACCTCAGGAATGATTACTTCGAGTTGTTCTTCCTGAGGCTCTCCTTTGAGGTTATGTTTGGACGAAAACACGAATTTTTTTAACGTCTCAGGAGGTCCATCAGACATTTGGGAAAATAACAAAAAGCTGCTTAGGCATTATTTAAGCACACAACAAGTTAATATAGGACGAGTTTTAACACGCAACCCCAAATTCTCCTTACCTCATGCAACTCTTTTCTAAGATTTGACAGTTTATGTTGGTATTGCTAAAAATCCTAAATAGACCAGTTATGTAATACAAAAAAATTTTCATGCTATGATTATTATTTATTTTTTTTGTGTATAATATAAACAGGTTGATAAAAATCGATTTTTAATAATTTTTCCACTTTGTGTTAATCAAATAAATAATTAAATACAAAAAAGGAACTACCAACTGTAAAATCAAAAGTCACTAAACACAAAAATGACAGATTTTTTAACCTCACAAAAGTCTTAAATTGTTTCTTTAGATTTCTAAAAAAAAAACGTAATTATGATTACATATGAGTTGTGCTTGCTTTACAGAATCATGCCAAAGGTTTGTTTTCTGTGTTTGATGAATTTTGTAATGAATTTTTTTTTAGGCGGAACTGGCTTCTGTGGTCAAGAGGACTGCAAACGCGATTTTTGAGAAGGGTGGCTTTATTAGAAAACTAGAGAATTTAGGAACTCGAGATATGCCCCATAAGACGAGTATGCATGGTCAAGTTCATCACAAGGCTAGGTATTACAATAAAGCATTAAAAGGAAATGTTTAAATGTAATTTTAGTTACTTTTTAATTGAATTTAATGCACCCCCAACATGCATTGATAATTTGTTAGACGAATATGTGCGTGACGTCGATATTATAAGAAAACGTATATATAAGAAACAAGAAATTGCCCCATTTGAATGTACTTTGCATGAAGACATGCTTCCACCTCCATATCGTAAGAGCGTACAGGAATTAATAGCACAAACTAAAAAGACAGATAAGCCTAAGTATGAATATAATACTGGGTTGGATTATTACCCTTTCCAGAAATAAGTTGTAAACAAAATGTAGGATAAGTGTAGGGAAATAAAATTCTTTGTAGTCATGCCCAAGTTTTATTTCATTTATATCATATAAATAAACACTCAGTAAATAAATAAATAAAAAGTAAAAAAATAATACAAAATTCACATTAATACTGACGAATTAAAACTATTTTTTCTTCCAACGTCGATTTTTTCGGCACCCTTTTCCAAACCAACCTGCTTGAATTTTACTTTTTATTTGCTCTTTATTTTCATCGATGTCTTCTTCGTCAGTTGTGTAATCACAACATAAGCAAACATTCGGTTTCTCTTTTTGTTCAATCTTACTAAACCTATACAACGGATTGACAAACATCGCTTCAATTTTTGGATAAAACAAACAATTTACAGAATTGTAATTTCTATCACAAAACTCACATGACGGTTCAATTTTAGGACTGATCTTTTCGATTTTAACTTCCGGCATGGAAAAATCCGGAACTGGGTTAATAATGCTATGAATACCGGGGTATAAGAAACTGGTTTGATGGGGATAATAAATAAAATCGGAATAGGAGCCTAATATCTGACATTGTAATAAATTAGTGGCGAAATGATTGTAACTCAGAAGCGAGTAATTCGATAATAAAAAACTAGTTTCTAATGGACTTGGTGTCTCCCGACGAGGTAATGCTGAAGTTTCGTGAACACGGTCGCTAAGGATGTCGTCGATTGAAAAAGCATGTGCGGTTTCTCTTACAGGAAGACAATTTAGCGCAGATTCAGAATGACTTGGTGATGTATCACTATTGCTACTAGTATCACAGAACTCTGATTTTATTGAATTAGTCGAACTGAGATCATTATCACGATTTGTGGAACAGTCTTGTATACCATTTTGTACTGGGAAATCCTTTTTCTCGTCTTCCAACTTGAGCAGCGGCTGAGTCGTCGTGTGCAACTCAGCATCGCACAGTAACGTTCCATGGGCAAAAATGGGGTCCAGGCTTTTGTCGTATTGGGGCACTTTAATATCAAGCAAATTCATCACCGCCTCCATCACCACATCACATTTACCGTGGATCTTAACATTGGCAACATCGTCTTTTGGGGTCCATTGTAAGTTGACAATGTACAAATTTGGCCGCTTCTTCGCGGGCTTATCCATGCGCCACAACCAGGGATACTTTTTCAAGACTTTGAGACTCGACCCCAAACAGAGGATCGTCGTGGCCTTCTCCGCGTTTTTGCAAGCACCAGCCCAATTCAGGGGCCACTGTAAGCTTCCCCTCTCCCCAAAGTGGACAATTGTATCAACCAAAGCCTCATTGCACACGTAACACCTACGTGATGTCTTGTGCGAGTATCGCGCCGTGTTTTCCGTCACATCAAACAACCGCCAGTATTCTTTATGAGGCTTGCAATTCTTGCACACTTCAACATACATATTTCCATGCAGTTCTGATAAAGCAGTCCTTGGCAAACCTGAACGTAAATGCAAACCGTCACAGTTTTGTGATACTACATATTTGAGTATTTTTTTGCGGTATAACTCTGACAAGGCCATGTGCGTGTACGTTGGTTCAGCCAGTGAGAGGTCATGAGCTCTACAAGGTCATTTTAAAATTGGTTTATTTTGTTTTTAGTACTCACCCTATGTCTTTGCCTTGTTGTAGTCGTGTCCAAATCCCGTTAGGGCCTCTATAATCTGGAATTTTGGCCGCAGTGCTGATTCCAGCTCCTGTGTAAACAACCAGATGTTGTGCCTGTGCTATAGCTTGTGCAAGAATTAAGCATTTTTCTTTCAACACTTCTGGCGATTCCTCAAATTCCTCTAATCTTCGTTTAGCTACGTCACGCTTACGCCACCGCATTTGGACCTCCTCAACTGCTTCAGAGCATTCATTTAATACCTGAGCTTCTTCGAATGTTCTGTCAGTCTCTGATTTCTGGAGGATAACAGAAACCTACAAAAAGTAAAATAAACAACTGCTCGGTCGATTTACAAACAATAAACCTTTTTCAGTGATGCATTTCTCTCATCTTTGGCACAGAACCTCTTTGATTGCACTACTTGTCTTCTCGGTAGCCTACATCGTTTCATTATTCGTCCTTCAACGTCCATTGCAATATTTTCGAGACTTTCCGCAACATTTACTTCACCTTCCATTTCAATATTCTTTATTGTTAATGTTTTTGTTGCAACATTTTACGTAAACAAACTGCCAGTCCTTCACGTCCATTTTCACCTGTTTTACAATTTTTATATTGGCAATGCTGAACACCCCAAACACCACACTGGTTTTTATGTTGCCAGTGTTAAAAATTCCGCGAAATTCAAAAACTAATCCTTTTAATATAGCGCAATCAAATTAGACAAAAAATGTACTTTATCCGCATTTAAAACAGGATTAATCTTGTAATTTGAAAAAACTGAAAGCAAATTGAATTTATTGGGTGCAACACTTCATTAGAGAGTCTATAAAGTCTTCCGAGTCGTCATCATATGCTGCACCTTCGATTCTTCGTCTTCAACTTAAACATTGAAAACCGAATTAGAGTCTTGTTCAGTTCAATATTAATAAATAGATGATTTAATATCGATGATTTGAATAAAGCTTACAGTAAATTGAATGTATTGGATCCAACAGTTTATTAGAGGTGTCACGAGGGTCTATCAAGTCTTCCGAATCAACTTTATATGCTGAACTAGCATTTGCCTGCGACTTTGTTCGCGTGTATTTCTGATATAAAATGGGAGAAAGCCCGTTCACAACACCATTCCATAGGCTTAGGTACTTTATAAAGCTAGATAATTACCTATGTTATGTATAGGATTCAGTTATAGTAGTCTCGTTCTTCGCATGGGCTATGTTTATAGATAAATATTAAATGTTGATTTTCATAAAGTGTCGTCTCAGTGTACTTCTGCACTCTCAAAATTCGGAATTTCATATTTCTAATTTTGTTTTTAAGCGTTTACTCTACTTTATTTCATTAAAATTTGAAAAGTGCACTTCTACACTCTTTAAGGATCATATTTTTTAAATTTAATGTTTTATATCCATTTAAATGTGTACACCGTTTTATTCCCTTAAAAACTAATTTTCGAAAAATCTGATTTTAGTGCCCCTTTACACCTCTAAAGAATTTTATGTTTATATCTTTGTTTAAACATATACACCCCATTTAACTTTCTTCCAAAATGTTTATTTATATCTCCGTTTAAATGTTTACACTCGAGTCAACTTTCAGACAGACCAGTTTAGTTGGGGAACGCTCTACACATATAAATACTTACCATATCCTAATGAAATGTATTTCAAAGGGTTTTTAATGCAATTTTATGTAGACTCGAAACTTTTGAACCCTACGGTTAGTCCTATGACAAAAATGAATAGGACCATTTTTGTAGGAAATTTTGTAAGCTTTAATTTTGATAAGAAGATAAAAACCTAGAGGAGTGATAATTTCAGAGATATAAGCAAAAAACCAAAAAAAAGACACCTTTAACCCCCTCCCCCCCTCGAGCTCGCCCACCACCTTCGGGAACTTTTGATATATGTCTACCCAAGTGTAAAAAAGCGTTTAAAAAAATTCCAACTCTAGGATTTTTTTCCACCGATTTGTCTAATTTGACTGGGCTAATAGGTAAAAGAATAAAAAAAGGAAAAGACAAAAGACTTTATCGTTTAATAGATAATCAATTTTTACATAACATAAATAAATAAAATATACACTTTTCTTAATGTGCAAAGCAATTATTACATATTAGTCAAATCTAACATTACGGATATTTCTGGTATGTTTTCTGGGTAGATTTCTGGTTGCTTGTTCAACTTCAGCTAAAAAGCTGGTTGAATTGTGTATTGTAGTGCCCCCAAGAGCAATGTTAAAGCTCGGGTTGCTCTTATTGAAGGAATGTACAGTCAAAGACTCCTCGTAAGTTGTGCCTCCGACAATAAAAATAATTATGTCTTGAGGTCTCCCACTGAGAAAATGATTTCCAACATAAGGATAAAGGCTATCTTTCAATCTTCCCCTAACAAGTTCTTCTAAAGTTTCATGGATTAAAGGCTTATGTTGTGTGTAGACATTATCAACTCCACTTAATCCCTTAAAGAAACGCTTTGTACTCTGAAGAGCGTTTTCCACATTGAGAAAGTCACTCTGTCTAGCATGCGAACCTGCGTATTCCAATATATTAACAATATTTTTAATAAGACGATCTGGAACTCCTCTCTTCTTTAGTAGTTCAATAAGTCCAACCACATCGTTATTGCTGTGATTTTGATAGCGTAAAGCATAAAGCATTACTAGTTTTGCAATATCTGTATTTCTAACTTTATCATTGTTTATTAGCTTTTTGATACTTTGCAAATGTGATGAATGGTCATTGTGTGATGAAATCTCTTGTTCAATTTCAGACACATCGAGTAGCTGGTATTTATTGACCATGGAACTTAATTCTCCAACGACTGTCACATGTTTCGTAACGTTTCCTGAGAGCTTTTTAAATTGAGGATATGCTTCAACAAAATTTTTCATATCTGCAATACTTTCAATTTTTTGGTGACTTTTAGCTTTGGCTTGGAATTGATCCATTAATTGTTTGATGTTCTGTCCAATTTCGCCGTAATTCAGAAAAATATTCTTAGCGTAAAATGAGTCTTGCTCTGCTGATAAAACCACTTCAGATAATTCTTTACCAACTCCCGGGATTCCTGATAGGTTGACGCGATTATTATTTATTGTTAAAAGTTCATGCACCATTGCTTGATATGTCCACTGGTTTAGCAGAGGCGTCATTGGGTCATCTCTTCGGTCCAAAATAAGCAATAAAGGTTGACTGTTTTGGCCAAAAGCAAACAATGACGATTCTTTACTCATAACTTCATCAATTCGTGTTCCAAGATCTTTGCACAGTTTTGAATTAGCTTGGTATCTAATTGCTGGACTCTTCTTTAACGATAAGAGAACAGCAACAATTCCTTGAACTGTCCTTTGTAAAGCTGTTGGGTTCCAAGATAGACTATTCATGCAAGTTGGCAAACCGATTGAAAACAGATGGGGGTTCACAGCTAGGTAATCCATGTACAACTCCTGCACTTCTTTAACAACTTCTTGTTCATCATGTTCAGCTAAAATCTTGATGTCAGCTTTGGCCACAATGTTGCTAAAGTAGATGTAATAAGCGCCGTATTTGGGATAACGCAATTCGTTACATAGTAGTCCAATATTTTCTTGAGTGGGGCGTAGAAAAACTAAACATTTTAGGTAACGCAGCCCCAAAGAATTGCTCTGGTTTGGTGAATCTAATCTTTCGAGCAGAAAAACCTCCTTTTGTTGAATTTCTGACTGCCCGTAAACCATACTGATTACACTGGTTGTTTCTTTATCCATTAACAAGATTTTCATGCCGGGCTCGCTTTCTTCAGTCATTTTGGTAACATATGCCTTTACAGCTGCTATCAGGTTCATCTTTGGAAATTTTAATAACTAACTCTTTGGCAAAAAATATTAAATTACAGTAGTAAACGCGGTTTGATCATTTTTTTTTCTAAATTAAAATCGATTTACGAGACGTCAAAATTGACAACAATAAATGTCAACGTCAACTTGGGTACAAATTAACTACTATAGTGTTATAAAATCTACACCACAGAATCTACACAGTAGTTCGTTTGTTCAAATGAGGTTATGTGAAAAATCCTTAGAAAATGATTTTACGATTAATTTTACGGCAAAAAAAGCATATAAATGTTTGTTATTACTGCACACAAAGTGAAAAGAAAAAGGTTTATAGTGATACAATATTTTTGCCTAAAACAAAATTTCCATTGAGGTTAGAGAACAAAAAATTACTGGAACGTGATGAAAAAATTACTACCGTATGTAAAATTTTTATTTATACGATCGAATTGTAATCATATGTCTTTAGGTTGCCGAATTTGATCAATTATATAAGTGGCAAAGAAGTTACTTATCAGAACCTGAATTTGTGTTACACGATGGGCCCCCCTACGCCAATGGAAAGCTTCACATGGGGCACGCTCTCAATAAAGTAATAGAGCATGTTTTATGCTTTAGTCTACTTACATGAAATTTACAGATTCTTAAAGATACTATTTTGAGATATCAGATTTTAAAAGGGCACAAGGTTCACTATATACCAGGGTGGGATTGCCATGGGTTACCAATTGAATTAAAAGCACTATCAAAACCTGATGCAACACCATTAGAAATTAGATCTAAAGGTAATTTACTTATAGTTGAGACTCCTCTTGTACTCATAAGTATAATGGTTTTTAGCTAGGAATTTAGCAAAAAATACTATAAGGGATCAAAAAGCCGTTTTTCAAACATGGGGAATAACGGGCGATTGGAATAAACACTACGCTACGTACAATCCTGATTACGTTAAAATACAATTTAAATTATTTAATAAACTCTATCAAAAAAACCTCATTTACAGAGACTTTAAACCTATTTATTGGTCACCTTCTTCAAGGTAGAGAATCGTTATTTTTTTATTTTAACACTTAAATATAAACATTTTCAGAACAGCTTTAGCTGAAGCTGAATTGGAATACAATGACCAACATAAAAGCAAAAGTGTTTTTGTTAGATTTAAAGTGAATCAATTCCCTAACAGAAGCGAGCAGTAAGTTGTGAAATAAAACCACAGCATAGTAAATTTGTTTTCAAAGGGTTTACGCTTTAGTTTGGACAACAACCCCATGGACGTTACCGGCAAACCAAGCAGTGTGTTACAGTCCATCGTTGCAGTATTGTTTAGTAAAAAATTCCAAAGACAATTCTCTGTATATTATAGCCTCTGATTTACAAGCTAGCTTGAGCAAAACTTTGAATTCTAAGTTTGAAAAAGTGGAAAGCTTCTCTAGTGAAACACTGTCACATTTAACGTACATCCACCCAATTTATAAAGACAAAAACGTAAATTTTGTACCATCATCGCATGCTACAGCAAGTAAAGGTACAGGTCTGGTTCATACAGCACCTGCTCACGGCCCTGAAGATTTTCTCATAGCTCTAAATGAAAAAATGGAAATTGTAAGTACGTTCTTTAACCCTTAAACTGCTAAATTAATTTTATAATCCTTTGCTGTGTGCTCACATATTTTGGGCGGTGCGTATATACAGGCTGTATTAGGAAAAACGCCCCAAGCCATAACTCCATTATTTTTAAAGTTATGACAATACGTCTTAGAACAAATTTGAACATTTTTTTGTCATCTATCATGTGGGATAGATGCTAAATTAATGCTGTTTTCTGTTTCACGGGAAATGACATCAACTTTAATTTTTTTAATGGAACACCCTGTATATTTTACCACTCTTGGATTCTTTGTTTAATTGTCTTTTAATAGGTTTTAGTACCATATGCCTAAAGCCAACCGTTCGTGAGATATGCGTCAATTAAAAATTTATTAAAGCAGGCAGTGTAAAACAATAATATCAAGTAATGTTGACAAATATTATTATTACTGTGTATTTTCTCTTATTATTTTTATACTTTTTGATGTTAATCAGGACTGACAATGTGTTATGTTAACAGACATGATTCAAGAATATTTTGAATGCAATAAAAATTGTTGGAGACCACAAAGCCTGGGTTTCCAATAAGAGAGGTTCTAATTCGTCGACTTGAAGAAAATTTGAGCATGTTTAGGATGTTTAGAAAACCTAAATTAGAATACGCTCTATTAGTGTGACGTCAGCAAGGTACGTGACTGTACCTTTGAAGCTAAACCTTGAATCCTGGACGTGTAGGGAGATTGTTTCTAAGGAAATAGTTGCTATGAAAAATGTGTGTCGTTTCGTAATGATTTTAACAATTGTAGTCAACATTTCTGTAATTTAATCTGTTCTAACCTCACTTTCTGTGTGTACAGCGTTGCCAGAATGTTGCAAACGACAGGAGTGGATAGGTCGTACCAAAACAAAATAAAATATATTAACATGCACATAATGTGTATTTGGCTGAGAATATAAATTATTATTTGTTTACAAGTAAATATAAATATCTAGTAAAAAAAATCTAGTATCAATTTGGTACTCTAGTATCACAACTGGCAACACTGTATGTTTAGCTTCAGTACAGTCGCGTCTGTGACGTCACCTCTAATAGCCCGTATAGTTGCTTGTGATAAGCCAACGTTATTTGCAATTTCTTAAGTTCATATTCTTGCATTTTCTTCAACACCTATCTAATCCTGTGTCTCTTTGAAATTGGCGATGTTCTAATTTGGGTTTTTAAAAGCCCCAAACATCGTCAAATTTTAGTCAAGTCGCTTAAATTTTCGATGATTTTTAACATTTCTTATCACCCAATGTAAAGGCGTTGTCGTCTCCAACTATTTTTATTGCATTCAAAATATTCTTGAATCATATCTGTTAACACATTATCAGCCATGCTTAACACCAAAAAGTATAAAAATAGTAAGAGAAAATGTAAAATAATAATATTTGTCAATATTACTTGAATTATTGTTTTCCACTGTCTACTCTAATAAATTTTTAATTGACCCATATCTCACCAACGGTTGATTTTAGGCATATGGTACTAAAACTTGTTAAAAGACAATTAAACAAAGGATCCAAAAGTGGTAAAATATACAGGATGTTCCATTAAAAAAATAAAGTAGTTGTCATTTCCCGTGAAACAGAAAACAGCATTAATTTAGCATCTATCCCAAACGATAGATGACAAAAAATGTTCAACTTTGTTCTAAGAAGTATTGTCATAACTTTAAAAATAATGGAGTTATGGCTTGGGGCGTTTTTCATAATACATCCTGTATATACGTTTAGAGCGGTTAAATCTTATTGCGTATAAATACGTTTTGAGCAGTTTACTGCTAAATTCACAAATTCTTAGAAAATTTTCAGGTCTGTATTTGTAAAATTTAGAGTAAAGCAAAATTTGTTTTATTTAGTGCAATATTTTAAGAGTACAGAAACCTTATTACTCCCCCATAAGTTTTTTAAATACTCCTAATTGTTTTCACAAAAGGTAATAATCAAAATTATCAATTTCTTGAACAGAATAATACTTTCTCACCGTTTTTAGCAAAAATTTACTTTAGCTCTTGATCAGTAAAAAATTTGTTTTGTACTGTTGATGCAATAAAAATACATTTGTTCTGTAACAATAAAAAGCAAGTTTAAAAAATTGTATAAGCACTACAATAATTCCGTTTGTAAGAAATCATCACTCATTTTTCCGTGCTAATATCGCAGAACACAACTTTTGAACATTTTTTTATGAAAAAAATGAATCCGTCCCATAAGTTTCTAATAATGCCATAAACAGTTACCGCGTATAAATACGTTAAGAGCAGTTAACAACACCAAAGGAAAAAAATTGAATTAGCAATGCATTTATGGCCTTTTTATAATAAGAAACTAATATAATTTCAAAATAAGTCTAATAATAAGTATACGGTTCGAGCAGCGAACCACTCGGCGTAGATATACGTTTAGAGCAGTTTAGGGGTTAAATATTCCTCATTTCAATTTCTTGTTCTAGGAAAATTTAGTAAATGAATTAGGGTGTTACAACACCAGTGCTGGCAAAGAACTTGAGGGAAAGTTTGTACTAGAAGATGGAACAGAAACAGTTTTGGAAATGATTAAAGAGGATATTGTCTTTTTGCACGATTATGTGCATAGTTATCCTTATGATTGGCGAACGAAAAAACCTGTCATTATCAGAGCTAGTCAACAATGGTTTCTTGATACTGATTCTATAAAAAATAGGGCCATTGTGGGTATTTATTACTTTATGTATTTTCTTCTAAATTTATTCGTTTTAGGACCTGTTAGAAAATGTTGAAATTATTCCTAAGGTCAATAGTCAAATGTATAAGCGAAACTTAATAAATCAGATACAAAAACGACCTTATTGGTGCATCAGTAGGCAAAGAAAATGGGGAGTTCCAATTCCTGTCTTTTTCAATAAATCAAATAATGACGTTTTGATTAGCGAGTATGGTTGATTTAAAAAAAAAAAAGCAAATAAAATTTACTTTGAGAATTTTAGGGATTTAATAAGACATCTTTGCATGCTGGTGGATAATCATGGAACCGACTTTTGGTGGCAAATACCCACAAAAGATTTAATTCCGGAGGAATTAAGAGCTGGAATTAAAATTGACCAAATTGAAAAAGGACAAGTATAATACAATTTCATGAAAGTATAATGTTAATTGTGGATTTTAGGATATTCTGGATATTTGGTTTGATAGTGGAATATCATGGGCTAATGCTCTTGAAGGCGACAAAGTTGCTGACATGTACTTAGAAGGGGTGGATCAATTTACTGGGTGGTTTCAATCTTCACTACTCACATCAGTAGCTTTAAGAGATAAGGCCCCTTATAAAACAATTTATGTTCACGGGTTTGTTGTTGATGAAAAAGGGGCGAAGATGTCCAAATCTGTTGGTAATATTGTTGACCCTTTGGACATCGTTCGAGGAACAAAAAACAAAAAGGCATATGGAGTTGATACTTTAAGGTCTTTACTACATTTATTTGGAAAAAAGTGAATTAAAATCGTTATTTTATAGATGGTGGGTGGCTTGTCATGCCAACCAAGATGCACTTGCTCATATAAGCAATAATGTCTTACAAGCAAGTGCTGACGAATTACATAAAATTAGAAGCGTCATAAGATTTGCATTGGGGTGTTTGTATGATTACCAACCTTCAAATGTTGATTACAAAAACTTGTCGTTGTTGGATAAATATATGTTGCATTTGTTATATTTATTTCATGAGCAAGTATGTGCAAATACAGAGTAGAGTAAACATTACTATTTTTTTGTAGACAGTGGAAGCAATTAAGGATTATAGATTTCAACAAATTTGCAAGTCTGTTATAAATCTATTAACCAATCCAGTATCAGCTCTTTATTACAATGGAATTAAGGATCGCCTATATTGCGACCCCATTGATAGTATTTCACGAAAATCTTCTCAATTTGTTTTGTTACAAATTTTTGAAATTGTGACACAAGCGATCGGCCCAATCGTGCCGCATCTTGTTGAAGAAATGTTCTTACACTTACCTCAGAAAAATGGGAAAACATTTTTCACTTCTACTCACAGTAAAGCAGAGACTTACTGGAAAAATGACACTGTAGACAAAGTGATGGAAGTGGTTCTAAACATAAAAAAAGATATTAATAAAGAAATTGGTGCGGGTACACAAAACACAGTTGTTAAAATCGGTCTTTCCAAAAAAATTGAAAAACTTATCGTAGTAAGAATATCATGTCAAATTTTCTCAAATAATTTATTTTTTCCAGGAAACTACAACAATTGGTAATATTCAAAATGAATTAGAAAACATTCTTCAAGTATCTGAAGTCGAACTGAATAAAGCTGACATAAGAAGTGATTATAAACTCGAATTGTCTAAAAGTCAACGATTTCCATGTGCACGATGTAGGCGAGTGCAATCTGAGTGCGAAAATGAATTATGTGAACGTTGTAATCACGTGATAAAAAATATCACAAAAACTGCAGTTATTAACTAAATTCTAAAACTAAAATTAACATTTTGTTTTTTATAAGTATTGAACAAAGAAATAATGTTTTTAATAAACTTTTTCTTTTTTACCACTTTTGCTTTTTTTCTTGGCCTATTTTTTTCTTGGCCATGAATTCTGCATAATTCAACTTTTCGCCCTCAATGCTGCTGTTACTTTCAAGATCAAAAGATTTTTGACGTTTACGTTTTGGTGGATTCCTTGCTCGTTTGGGTGTTAAACGTTTAGGAGCAGGTGTAGGAGTTATTTTGATACCTTTTTGTTTTGAAGCTTCAAGCCGCTGAATTTCTTTCTCAATATTGTCACATTGTAAGATCAGGTTTTTCATCTCTTGGTTTATTTGTTCATTTTTAACATTTAATTGAATCATTTTAATTTCAAACTCTTTTAAAGCAGTTTCATGGCTGTCGGCAGCTTCTTGGAAATTTTTGTTACGAAATTCTATTTCTTCGATTTCCTTAATCTCTAGTTGAACGGTTTCCGCAGATTTTAACTCCACCTGCTGAATTTTTCTGTTGATTTCCGATAATTCCAAACTGGGAATCGTCCTTATTGTATTAAGCTCATTCTTTTTTTCATGAATTTCCTCTTCGCACTTTGATAACAATTCTAGTAACTCCTTTGACTTCTTTGTTAAACTATCATACTCTTGTGAAACGGACACATCATTTACTTTTTTAACAATTTTTTTCTCGTTCTCGTGAGCATAACTTGAAAGTGAACGCAACTCGTCCTCAAGTGAAGAAATTTTTAATGTGATTTGTTCCAGTTCCTACAAAAATAAAATGGTCGTTAAAATATTCTAAATCAAACACACCATGCGTACGTCATTTGATTGTTTTGCTTTCTCTTCACAAGACGAAAGTTCAATTTCTTTGTCACTTATGGTTTTATTTTTTGATTCAATTTCCAAATGTAAAAGTTTAATTCGTTTATTATTTTCTGCTTCAGTTGCACTTAAACGTACTTCTATGTTTGCACATTTTTTGTCCAACAGTTCTAAAGTCTTGCGTATTTCGAATTGTTTTTGTATAAATTTTTCTTTGCTTTTAAATATTTCTTTACACTTGTGCGACAAAAGTAGTACTTCTTCTGTCTCCAATTCAAACGTTCTGTATAAACAAACAATAAAAGTATACCTAAAAATTTCGGAAATTAAATCTTTTACTTATCCTTTTTTATTTCGTTTTTTATTTCTTCAAATAGATTCAAGTTTTTCTTTCTATATTCTTGAGTCAGCTTTTCTAACTGTTGATTTTCCGTGTCTATTTTATCTTGCAGTACCTCTGTTTCCAATTTAATTGTTTCAAGCATCTTTTGCTTAATTTCAAATTCATCCATAACATTTTTCCACAACTCTTCATAATGGTTTTGTTCCGTTTTTATGTTGTTGATTGCGCTTTCTATCTCAAAAGTTTTTTTTGCCACTTTCTCGCCATCATCTTTCTCCAAAATAACCAAGAGTTTTGTTTCATTGATAAATTTGTTTTCTAATCTTTTCATACGTTCTGTATTGTCATTAAAAGACTCATTTAATGCATTTTCTTCTTGCAAAATCGTATTCAATTTCTCCTGGATTTGCTGCGTATAATCGTAGACTTTCCCAAAAAGCTTCTTAACTAATTTACAATTTTCATTAAAAGCATTTTTGGTCAAGTTGTTAATTTCTAATATTTCCAAGTTTTGTGTGTTTAATGTCTGCGTTTCTTCCAAGTTTTCTTTCAGCTGATTTATGTATTCTTGGCATTGTTTCAAATCGAATTTTTTTGAGCTCAAGTTTTCCCGCGAAACATTCTGTAATAAAAAAACAATCATACGAAATAAACACAAATTAGAAACGTTTTACCGTATTTTCAATTACTTCCAAAGTCGTTTTTAAAATATCCATTTTATTTTAAGAATTTTTTCTGAAAAATCATCGCCAACTTGGTATTTTTAAGCATCACTGTCGCCAACCTTTTAAATATTTGAAAATGCGCGCGCAGCATGCACATGATTAAATGCAATGTTGCCACCGTTGCCACTGTTTTTTAATTTAATTTAATTTTATTTATTTTTTTAACAAATGCAGACAGTTTTTGCAAACTCATGTTGTTAGATGAATATCAAAGGGTCCAAGAAATTTTAAGTAATAGATTACGTAATCGCGACTTCGCACCATCACCAACCAATAACTTTCCCAAAGTCGACCCTTCACTATTCTTTACTTATTAAAATTTCTAATTAGTGCATTATTCAAAATTTACATGTTTGCAACGTCAACAACAAAATGTATAATGTAAAAGGACCCAGTAAAATCGTAGCTAAAACTACAAGACGAGGTAACAATTTCAAAATTTGTGTTAATTTTCTAACCTCAATCTTAGGCATTTCGCAGAATATGGACAATATTCGGGAATATACACGGAATAAATCTGTAGAAAGTGAAGACAAGGAACTACCGGCGTATGTCATTGTCATTAAGGCAAAAATCGAAGTTTATGTGTAAATTTTAGGGTACCTAGACCAGTTTTTCACAACAAAAAGTCAGTCTCATATCAGCACAGACAGGAAGTTATATCACCACAACATGAAGAAATTATAAAATTCGTCAATGATTGTAAGTATTTTATTTTAAAAAAATGGATTATATTTATTTTTGTAGCTTGGAATAAGGTTTGTGCAGAAATAAGTCAAGATTCTGATGGTTGTGCTAGCCCCAAAAGTAAGATGTTTATAATTTTGAAGAAAAAGTAGATAATCTTTTTCGATTAGGTGATCAATCGATTTATTATGAAGATGAGCCTCTCATTTTGGAAGGTTTTAAACCATTTGATCTGGAGTCTTGGTGGGGCAAACGCCTTTATGCATGCATAACTGGTTCAGCAAACGGGAAAAATTAACTTTTTTCTGAAGCAGTGTCGGTAGCTAGTCACATTTTTTGTTAAATCTTATGTACAAAGATTTCGGCTCTTTAATTTTTAGGTGTAGTGTAGTCTCAACTTTTTTTAATTTTTTTATCAGGTTATACGATTTTATTAGATTTTATGCCTTGTTAATTGCAAAAAGCCTCTTTGTTACTATTTCAGGGGTTTTTTTCATTTTAAATTTGTAATAATTACGAAAAAAATAAAATGTGATATTTGTATTTATTAATTTTTTGTTACCATATTTACCACATTCAGATTTCTGCTTAAAATATTAAGTGAACTGTCAATTTTTATTCTTCAGTTGATCCATAAATCAGTTTTTTTGATTTGTTTCACATGATGTCAGGTGTAATTGAAGATGTTAGATTTTGCGGTATTTGTACTCAAAAGGAAATACGTGGGTTGGTTGCAGGATCGTAAAAAATTTAAAGAACACGTTAAAGAAATGGAACATACTGTTCAAACGCTTGAAAATAATTTAAAAGAATCAAATCAAAATGAAAGAGAGCTGGTGATTTCAATGCAAAATGATCAGATTAAGTATCAAGGAATTAGTAACCAGCTTAAAGAAGCGCTCAAAGAAAATCAACAGCTTTTGAGTGGGAGGCTATAAAAATCTCATCTTATTAATATATATTTTTTTTAATTTCAGACATATTGCAGCAAAAAACTAATGATCAGGACAATTCCCGTACTAACTCTCAAGTTGATTTGAGTTCATCTTGTTCCACAATGAGTATAGTTCATTTACAATATAAGTAAGTTAACTGAAAGAAGAAAATTAATCTATGTGTAATGTAATAGATACGAAGAACTTTTAACTAACCACCACGGATTATTAAAACTTCTTGACATAAAAAGCGAAGAAATTAAGAAAGTGCATGAAGAAAATGTTCGTCTGAAAACGGAAATTGAACAACTCCGGCAAAACCTCTTAGAAACCGAAGAAAACTTGGATAATCTTGAGTCAAAATTTTATAGAATGAAGGAAAAAAAGAACGAAAAGGTGTCCGGTTCGGAATTTTTCCAATTTTGATAACAATTGTTGTAGATAAATAAACTGAGAGCGCACAAAGAAACTTTACAAATGGTTCACAATCAATTGGTTAATGTATTAGATAGCCAATGTATGGAAAAAGATAGTCTTATGTCGGACGAAATTAAGAATTGCCGAGACTCCGAAAAGGCTTTATTGTTACAGGAAGTAATGTATTTTAATTTGAAAAAAGGGATATTATGGAATATCTTTGTAGATGCGCAGAAACAACATGTTGGCTTATGAAAATTTCCAACTTAATCAAAAAGTGGAGCTTCTACAATCAATTTTGCGTGCTCAAAAAAAGTGAATGTTTTATTTTGTATGAAATAAATAGCTATGTATTTTCATTTTTGAATTTAAATTTTTTAGTAACATTCTTAATTCTACTGTGTTGGTCTTACATACAGGATGCGCCAGAACTCGCGCCCTAGAGAAAATTTTCAAGTAAGATAAGATACTAGGAACATGGAAAAAATGTTTAAAAACTTCTATCTATTTTGACATTTATTTTTTGACATTTGACATTTTATGTCTATTTAATGATACTGATGTTCTTGTATATGTTTTTTTACAATTATTTAGTAAAGGTACAAAAATTTTGCCTATAAAAGCCACAAATAACATTGAACAGAGTTTCAATTTAGGATACAACTTCTTTGTTTCCTCTTCTAATTGCCTGTAGCAAAAAAACTTAGAAAATTATTTTTGCAACAGAAATAGAGTCAAAGTGCAAAATTTAAACTCTCATAACTTCGAAATTTTTATAGATAATTTTTTTTAACATTTTTTTCCATGTTCCTGGTATCTTACCTTATATGGCGTTTTTCTCTGGGGCGCGAGTTCTGTACAGGCGCACCCTGTATAACACGATTTTTTGCACATTTCGAATCAGATGGAAAACCAACGGGAAAACAAATAAAAAAATATCTTAATATTTTATTGAAAATAGTATTTATAATTTATTTAAAAAAAATATTTATACAAACGAAATTACTCAGTATGTATTACATTGTAATTCCAATTCGTGTACAAAATGCCGTAAATACTTAAATTTACAAAACAGACACAACTCTTCAGTAGTGGTAATTTTGTAAATGTAGACCTCATTTTTGAGATACCTAACTCCAAAAAACAAAATTCTATAGGATTTAGATCGAAGGATCTGGCCAGACACTGAACTGAAATATTAGATATTTGAAAACTTGTTGTCAACTTGACTTTTTTATTTATTAAAATGGTTATTTTTGTTAGTAAACCTAGATAAAGTGATAATTTCCCTTAATTTCAATCTTAATTTTTTTGTTTTTTTTTTTAATTTAATTAAGTAATTTCATACATAAAGAAACTAATATCAAAAAAAATTTTGTAAGTAACACAATTTCAAAAACAACGTTTGACACGTCTGCTTGAATTATTTTTTTACTTTAAGGGCAGGGGTGAATCTTTTGATCTACCAGACGGCGCCCCTGTCAACGATGCGAGAAAATGTTTACCTTCCAAGTTTATGTATACTTTCAAATTTTTGTCACAACACAATTCTGCTCTTGGACTGTAATTCAAACGGTTGACGCATTTTATAAAAAAACTTACATTTTCGTTAAAAAAAACCCAACTTATTTCAAAAACTAATGAAAATCGATCAATAAAAGTTTAGCTTTAAAAAACATAATAAAAAACTACATTCAAAAATACCAATATACAGGGACATTTTTTTATTAGTATTTTGCCAAAGAATGTAATATTAAAATTGACAAAATGCCAAGAGAAATGTATTCTATAAAACACGTCGTCAATCAAATCGTATTTTATAACTATAGTATAAACATTTATTTTGACATTTTGTTAATTTTGACAATTTCCTTTAAAACAATTTTTAGATTTAGTTAAATTTTTGATCCAATATTAATGTTGGAAAAATTTTTGAAAAAAAAAACCATCAACATCTCATTTAAGGATGTTTTAAGACGTTTCGTAGAATAATTCAATTTTCTTATTAGATCAATATTTTAATTTGTATTAAATCATTTTTTGACATCTAGAGCTAACGTATGAAATGCCATGCGACATACGCTATATTAAAAAAAACCGGGAAATTAAATTTTTCCTAATGTAAATTCGGTTATTTATTTTCAGTTGTGGTAAGTGGTTATAGATCTCTTTACCCAACTGTGAAAAAAAAAATGCAGTGGAAAGAGAGAAATTATGAGATAAGTTAATAGTATATTATAATACTAGTTTATAAGCAAGCCTTTAAAACACGCACGACGTGTTTTAACGTCGTAAGTGTTTTAAAGGCACTTATAAACGAGTGTTATACGCTATTTTTTATTATACCTGCCCATTTACGATCTTTTATGTGCATTGAAAAAATGTGAATTTACTCAATAAAATTATCAATAGTCCGGTCAAAATAAACATTTTAAATAACTAAAATTCCGACAGAGCTAAATTTTGGTGGAGATATTGAGTACACCATTAGGAATAAAGTGTCAAAAGTCCCCATCGATCCCATGTGTGCTAAAAAAGTTATTCGGGGTCAAAGGTCGAAATTTGACGTTTTTTAGATTTTTTTCGAAAACGGTAAGTTTTATCAAAAAAGTAGCCCAGACAAAAAATGTAGATCTTGAAATTATCTACAAAATGGTCCTTATACTTTTTTTCTAACAATCACCATTCCTGAGATATCGCGATTCTAAAAGTTGAAGGAGTCACGTTCTACATGGTATGCACATACAGAGTGCGTCAGAACTCCCGCTTCAAAGACAAATGCCATGTAGGGTAAGGTACCACAAACATGGAAAAAATTAAAAAAAAATTCTATCTATAAAAGGGTAATGTTCCAGGAACATATAAAAAATTAAAAAAAATTCTATCTATAAAAACTTCAAAGTTATGAGTGTTTAAATTTTGCACTTTAGACTCTATTTATTCCTGTCGGAAAAATAATTTTCCAAGTTTTTTTGCTACAGGTAATAGGAAGCGGAAACAAGGAAGCTGTATTCCTAAACTGTAAATCTCTTTAATGTTATTTGTGGCTTTTATTGGCAAAAGTTTTGTACCTTTACTAAATAATTGTAAAAAAAACATAACCAAAATCATCAGTATTATTAAATAGACATAAAATAATGTCAAATGTCAAAAAACAAATGTCAAAATTTTTTGACAGATAGAATTTTTTAAACAATTTTTTTATGTTCCTGGTATCTTATCTTACTTGAAATTTTTCTTCTACTTCATTAAACTTATAAATATCTCGATTCCATTAGAATTAAAAAGAATTTATTTGGTAATACATACAGGATGTTTAAAAAATCGCGCACTTCCTTGAAAGGGAGTAATTGGGTAGTCCTCAGAGTATTGAAAAAATGTTTAAAAAATTCTAACTGTCAAAAATTTTTGACATTTGACATTTTTTATGTCTATTTAATAATACTGATGACCTTGTTTATGTTTTATCATAATTATTTAGTAAAAGTACAAAAATTTTGTCAATAAAAGCTACAAATAACATTAAACAGAGTTACAGTTTAAGATACAGCTTCCTTGTTTCCGCTTCTTATAGCCTGTAGCAAAAAAACTTGGAAAATTATTTTTCCAACAGGAATAAATAGAATCTAAAGTGCAAAATTTAAACACTCATAACTTTGAAGTTTTTATAGATAGATTTTTTTTTTAATTTTTATATGTTTCTGGAACCTTACCCTACATGATGGCATTTGTCTTTGGGGAGCGAGTTGTGGCGCACTCTGTATGTGCATATGATGTAGAACGTGACTCCTTCAACTTTTAGAATCGCGATATCTGAGGAATGGTGATTCTTAGAAAAAAAAGTAGAAGGACCATTTTGGTAGATAATTTTAAGATCTATAATTTTTGTCGGGGCTACTTTTTTGATAAAACTTGCAGTTTTCGAAAAAAAAAATAAAAAACGTCAAATTTTGACCTTTGACCCCGAATAACTTTTTTAGCACACATGGGATCGATGGGGACTTTTGACACTTTATTTCTAATGGTGTACCCAAGGTCTCCACCAAAATTTAGCTGTGTCGTAATTTTCGTTATTTGACCACTATTTTTATGACTAATTTGACCGGACTATAATGTGATTTTTGTTAATATTAAAAAAAAAGGAGATATGGGTCATTTTATGACTAAAATTAACTTTAATTAATTAAATTAAAATAAACCCCTACGTAAACCACTGACATAATTATTATGCTCTTGGTTCAAATAAATAGGTAACTAATAAATGTACAGATCACATGCATAAGCTAACTTGAATAAAAAATTAATATATTTTACGAAGTTTATTTTAATTACAAAATCAAATTTACAATAATTACAGAGCCCAAATTTTTACATAATCAATTTTGAAAGCGGCATTATCGGTCTCCAACTGCCATGTAGGCAACCACTGGTCTTTTCCCTTCCAGAAATCCGTAGAAGCTGTTGGTGACGTATTAACCCACGGTTTGCCTCCAGGATTAGTTGCATCATCTGGGAAATAAGCCGTTCCTCCACACGCCAAATTCAAAATAATGTAAAACTCTTGATCGAACGGTGCCAATTTGGACTTGCTATGTTTCCAAGGATTGTCCAAACCGGTCGAATCAAAATTACCCCATTCCCAAAATCCTCCTTCTGGTGGCTCGAATCTGGCTAACGGCTCATTATCAATAGCAAAAGAGATACTTTTTTCGTCCCATGTCATCTGATAGTTATGCCAGTCGCTGTCAAAACCATTAGGGTTTAGTTTTTCGGTGTGTGTGATCATGTACATGTTGTAATTCGAACCAGGGCCCCAATGAAGTGTCGAGCCGACCATCTGTGTTCCGATGTTGACTCCGGAACCGTTAACTAAGTTGCGATTTCCTCGGCTTTCCATCAAATCAATTTCACCGGAAATGGGCCAACCGGAGTAAAGATTCCACCTAGGTAAGAACCAAATTGCTGGAACGTTAACTATTTTTTTTGGGTCTTATTCCAGATTTCAGAGTATTACCAGGCCACAACCAATCACCAGCTGGCGCTTTCGCTCTTATTTCAGCTTTGCCATATTTGAAAGAAAACGAATAGACAGTGCGTATGCGAGCACTTTTGATAGGGTTGAGGTAATTGGTTGGGGTACCATCTCTGATGCATCCATAAAACTGGGGGTTAGTACACCTGGAATTTAACTCTTACATAAATCAATTTTCTACGTTTTACCCATTTTAATTACTCATCAGCCGGAGAACCTCCATTGATATCTAGATGCCCAGACGACAAAAACTCTTCTCCTGTTTCATCAGCAAGCAATGTTGGTTTGATGTACAAAATGCCATCTTCACTGTAACTATTATACCGGCTGTTGGTGTACCATTCAAATTCCCAATTCTAACATAAAATAAATTAGTAAACATTCTAAGAAAAAGCAAACTAATACGTACACCACCACCTCCTAGAGTATTTTCATGGCTCCACTTTTTCAAATCAAATTCATCAAATTCATCTTCGAAAATAAGATCACCGGAACAGTAAGGACCTGCTGGAGCGTGAGTACCACTCGCGGTTGTGGGACTAGGAGTGTCACATTGGGCTAGGGTGGAGTGGAGAAACCCCAGAAGAACAATTGTGATGATTAGTGATTTAAACATTTTGTTTGTTATTGAATCATTGAGAGAGCTTTTATACGAGTTTTTAGTACTTATCAGTTTTAATTTTAAACTGAACCACTTATCACCACTTAAAACCACGCTCCATGACAGTGAATAAAATAATTTTGCGAGGTTACATCCGGTATAATTATATTCTGCGGGTGTTTTATAATATTTTCCATGATTCACACATTACAATAAGGTGGGTGGTGCATGGATTTAACTATGACCATGAACTTATAGTTTTTATTGGAAGATTTTATAAACAATTTAAATAGAAAAATACTCGATTTGCAAATTGTAACTACATAACTGAAAGTACACTAAAAAATGGTGAATTATATACTGTTTATTTCTTCGTGTTAAAACCTTGAAAATATACAGTATACTAGATTTAAATCATTTATTAGTAAACAAAAACATATACAGAGTGTTTCAGAGAAACATGCCAAACAAAAACATGGACAAAATGTTACAAAAATTTCGAAATTATGGGTGTTTAAATCTTGCACTTTGACTCTATTTATTTCTGTTAGAAAAATAATTTTCCATTTTTTTACTGCAGGCTGTGAGAAAAGGAAACAAAGAAGCTGGGTCTTAAATTGTAACTATGTTTAACGTTATTTGTGGCTTTTATTGGCAAAATTTTTGTACCTTCACTAAATACAGAGTGGTTATAAATGATTTTCATCTAGCCAGCTTTGGAATTTTTTTGCATGTAACTTTATTTGTGCTACTCTATATTTTTAAAAGCTCTAGTTCTGTCATTAGTGTCACTTATTCATTAATAATAAATTGTTGTTAATTAAATTTTTATTGTTTCAACTAATTTCCAATAATAATTGATAATAATGTATACTTTGGAAGAAAACAAGTTTATAATTGAAGTCTATTTTCGAAGTGGACGCTTAGTAAACGGCGATTTTTTAATTTTGAGTTACAACAAATAGGTACCCCTATTTTCGTAAAGCGGCATTTTTTATTTTACATGGAAAATTCACAGCTGGCTAGATGAAAATCATTTATAACCACTCTGTATTAATGAAACATATTCAAGATCATCGGTCATCAGTAACATTAAATAGACAAAAATGTCAAATGTCAAAAAATTAATTCCAAAAGTTTTTGACAGATAGTAGAATTTTTTTATTTTACTTAGAATTTTTCTCTGGGGCACGAGTTTTGAAACACCAGGTATAGCAATAAAGTTAAAAAGAGGTAAAAATCAATTAATATCACGCAAGATACTACTGATATCAATTTTTAAGGAAATATTTCAAAACGTTGTTGATCACTCAAAGGTGCTTGTGATTTTTGTTTAAATAAAGATAAAAATCTGTTACTAAGAATACCTTGGTGATACTAGCACCTCTTATAAAATTTAAAGTAGGTTATTAGTTTTAAAGCTTTAATTTTTGTGTATGTTGTTTTCTGTTTCATATTTTGTTTATATAGAGTGTCCCACCTAAGACTTTTGGATCTAATATCTCTACTCTATTATTTACAAACAGATTCTGACGAAATTCAAAAAGTCGATTATTTATTAGGTAGAGATTAATATCGCATTACTAATTAACATGTTTTTTAAAAATGCTAAATTACTTCAAATTTATATCAAATCGTTAATCGCCAACAAAAAATGCTGTAAGCAAAAATCTGTCATTGTCCCGGTTACAAAAAAAAATTGTATTAAAAGTGACTGAAGATGGCGGCTATAAAGAAAATAGTATATTATATAACGACCACGGCTAACGCCTCGTGTGCATCTTTCCCGCTTGTGCGTTAGACACTTTCCTGCAAGTTTTGTACACTATTTTTCCTACGGCCATAAATAATTTTTTTACGAACATATTTTTTTTTCATAACGATTTATTTTTTATAATGGATACAAAAATACGTTGAATAACGATTTATTTTTCATAATGGATACAAAAAAAAATACGTTAAATGAAAAAATACAAAACATTCGAGTCTGAATTGTGCGTTAGATTTCTAACACACAGTGCGAAAACAAATCGCACAGGTTTTTGACCTCGTACAGTGATGGACAGTGAATTTCGTCCACCCGGTTTCCCTGACAGATTAAAAGTGTAAATTAGTCTTTAGGTTTTTCTAACCTTGTTTCAGAATTTTGATTAACGTTTGTCATGTTGACAGAATGCTCGATGCTTCTTGCTACTTTTTACCTTTGTCCTTTGTGGACAACCAGTGGTAGTCCTTGGTATGCCCAAAAGTATAGAGACACGTCTTTGAGACATATCTTCTTGTACCAGAATTTTTATTTTATTATGTTCGAATATGATTAAATTTGACAATACGTATTTGAATGTCAGTTATAATGACAATAAAGCACAGACTACAGTTAATTTTTGTGAATTCACAGAAATTGGGTGGACGAAATTCACTGTCCATCACTGTACGATATTGCCAATTTTCGCGCATATGTAATTGCGTTATGATCTAGTTTCGTATATGGTCCTAGGAAAAGGATATTACCGAATAGTCACCCCTGGCTGTCGGGCGACAATGACATTGATAAGTGACATTTATTGTTTTTCTAACTTCAAAACGTAATTTATGAATTGCATTTATTGGTCTAACTAGTTCAATACAACAAAAGATGCTCGAAGGTACCTACTACCATTGGCATCAATGGTTTTAAAAGTTTTAAAGGTTTTCTAACTTTATTTACTACAGGTTTTTAGGGTTGTACAAAATGTTACTTGGACACGGTAAACTGTTGTTTTAGAGTTAACGTTGATCAAATTCTTTAAAAAATTAGGTCAGGTCGGGCCAACAGTCGACGTATTTTTGCTGATTCAGAAGAGTGATTTGAAATTTTGAAAATATGTGTTAAACTTATGTTTTCTATCTTGAAATAGTAATTTTATTAATACTAATTGAATCTCCACTTTCTAATTTGTCTACATTTTAAATATAAAAATCCGTTGTCAAATAACAGAGATAACAGAGATATTAGACCCGAAAGTCTTACGTGGGACATCCCTGTACAGGGTGTTCGCAGATTGCGAGCAAATATTTTACTACTAATAGAACTTGTTAAGAGAAACTATTTTCAACTTTTGCTCATTTTTGAGTTAAATTTTTAAAAGTTCAGGTGGCTACGATTTTCCACTGAACTAGATTTTTATGACGTCGATGAAGTCATGAAAAACTAGTTATTATGATAGTTTGATTTTTTTTGTCTTCAAAACGATGTAACACTTTTGAAAAGTTAACATAATTACACCAATTTGCAGTCGGATTAAATAAGTTGACTTTATAAGAAACAAAATTCTATTCTTTTTTTGATTCAAAAAAAATTGTATTGTCGCCATTTGTCGAACTCAAAATAATTTTGCTGATTGTTATTACCAGAAGGCCTTTTTCTAAGGCAGTAGCAAAGAGTCAAAACCAACAACTGTGACCAATATACGATCCAAGTCATCTTTCAAACGGTAACAGTACAAGTTTTTGTGAATCAAGCAAAGACTCGCATTTTGTTTTTCAGTCATCTTCTTCTTCAAATTTATTTGATCATACGATATTGGATTTTTGCCTATTTACACAGTCTTTGGATAATTACACGTAAATAAAAAAGACTTGGAAAAATATTAACCAAACTGTAATAAGTTAATCAAATTTTGAAAAAAAAATTCTAATGGAAACTTTTTTTTAAGAATTATTTATCATATTATTTTAATTTCGTATTTAGTAGGGGTATAAGTTATTATTAATAAATAGGTACAACTTGGTAATAAACTAACACTAAATTGTATGTATTATGAATATAGATATACAGGGTTATTCATAAATATGAAGCAATATTTGAACCTCAAAAATGAACTATAAAATGATGTTAATTTAAATAATAACTCGTGTCCTATCTCTACTGATAAGAATTTTACAGCTCTCGGAATGTGGATATGGAAATTTGATTTTTTTGTAATAACTTTGGAACTATTTGACCAAATATTATAAAATTTGGAACATTTCCCTGTGACAACATACCCTTTAAACTAGTAATCACGAAAACCGGATACATCCACTCAATTTCCGGTTCCAGCAGTTGCAGGTCACATTTTCTGTGTTTTTCCATTTTTTTGCTCTCTTAACACCAATTTTTTATTGCTCAAATCGATAGAGTAATCAATTTCGATTAAAAAACGCATAATCTTTAATACCCCTAAAATGGACGGTTTCAAAGATATTTGAAGGGGCATCTGTTAACTTTGACGATAAATTTTTGTGAATTTTTTATGAATTAAATGCTACGAGATCCATTTGGATTTATTCTAAGTTATGTTTGGAATCTGAGGTAAACTCTTTTATTAAATATTTTCGATTAATTGCCTAATAATCGTCCAATATCAAAGCTGACAGATGCCTGACAGCGATTAGTGAGACCATGGTCATTTGTTACCGTGGATATCATCCATTCAAAATCCCTACTTTTTGGTTTCAGCGTTGTGCAGTCCTCAGTTTAAATTAAAATATCTTTGAAACGGTCCATTTTAGGGGTATTAAAGGTTATGCGTTTTTTAATCGAAATTGATTACTTTATCGATTTGGGCAATAAAAAATTGGTGTTAAGAGAGCAAAAAAATGGAAAAACACAAAAAATGTGACCTGCAACTGCTGGAACCGGAAATTGACTGGATGTATCCGGTTTTCGTGATTACCAGTTTAAAGGGTATATTGTCACAGGGAAATGTTCCAAATTTTATAATATTTGGTCAAATAGTTCCAAAGTTATTACAAAAAAATCAAATTTCCATACCCACATTCCGAGGGCTGTAAAATTCTTATCAGTAGAGATAGGACACGAGTTATTATTTAAATTAACATCATTTTATAGATCATTTTTGTGGTTCAAATATTGCTTCATATTTATGAATAACCCTGTATCTTGTTTACCAAATATTTTATCTAAATAAAATTATGCATAGATTTTTATTGGTGTAAATTGTAATCGCTCTATTTGTTTGAAATCAAACATTATAAACTGTTTCACTCATTGTTTTTAACCTTTAGTAAATAAACAAGGTAAATTCTACATTTTGCTAGTAACAAAACAAAGGTTATTTTGGTATTTGTTTCGTTGCAATATTTATAATTGCTTTATATCTTATCTTACTCATTTTGAATGTCATGGTAACACTTGAGTTTCGG